ATTGGCCTTGTATTCTGAGACAACCAAACTGATGGGTTTGCCCCTTGGTGAGTCCAAAACTGAAAAGCACTGTAGTAGATGAGTCAGATGTTTATTACTTACAGCAAGTAAGAAAAGTATTAGGGACAATTTCAAAAGGAGAAAGCAAGGGTCTTTTATTGGAGAAATGTATGCATATTCGTATCGGAAAGACTTATCACATGAATAGACACATTCCTGAGTATCACAGCTCAACTCATCCTTCATATAGGGAACAGCAGACCCTTGTGTGGGTGGAGAACTTAGCATAATAATAATATTATAATGAGCAAAGTTTCCTTTAGGTCCTGGAAAAGTGGGGCTGGGCTGCTTGGGCTGATTTAAACTAGTTCCTTGTTTTTTGTTTTTTGATTTTTTTTTTTTTGAATGCTCCACCTAAAACAAAAGAACAATTTGGTAGCCAGTAGTTTAACTGACATTTAAAGGGGCAGCAAGTCTTTCCCCTTAAATACAGGAGTTTTCTCTCCAAGTACCTGCCTAGCAGCTAACAGATTCACTAACTGGTTTTAGTAGCATTTAGATTTCATGGTGTTTTCTACACACATATTTCTTGGCAGGTGTGAGAAATACGCTCACCTGTCCAAACTCAAAGAATGGCCTCAAAGACATGTGGAGTAGAGTGAAAGACTTTTATGGCAACCTTGTAAGATCAGGTGCCTGGCAAGCAGACACACCCAAAGCAGTTGGCAAGCAGACACACTCAAAACAGTTACAACAAGCATTATATTTTCTAGTGTGCAAGTCCCTCCCCCAGCTCCTCATTGGCTGAGAACTATGGAACATACATTTTCCCCCCACATTTGCCTAAATTTCCTATTGTGTTATTTAAAATATGCCCGTCTTGGGGTTAGTCACATTTTGGAAGCCGTGGTAGTGGTATGTGCCTCCCTTTGAGGCAGGAAGATCTCTGTGTGCTTTCTGGCACACACATAGTTTTTACCCATTTCCTCATTTTACTCCTCCAGTTTAAGTTCCCGTATCAGTTGGTCCTCCCTCAGCAAGCTGATACTCAAGCAAGTGACTAGGGTTAAATGCCTTGCTTTGAAAATGGACCACCACTGATCTTATTTTTAATAGCAGGGACCTCTAGTACAAGATTGAACAGAAGTGGTAAAAGTGGACACCCTTACTTTGTGATCTTAGAGTAAGAATTTTGTAATTCATCATTGAACATGATAGCTGTAGGGTTTTGTAAATGTTTTTTACCAGACTGAGAAAGTTTCTGTCCATTTTTTATTTGCCAGCAGTTTTTATTACCAATATGGGCTGTCAATTTGAGATGCCCTGAGTTTTTGTCTTTTCTGTTAATGTGAAGAATTACTGACTTTTTGAAAGGTTAACCTTTCGTGTACTCTTGGCCATGATGTACTGTCCTTTTTCCACACTGCTATGTTAAATTTGCAGTTTCGTGGAGAATGTTTGGGTCTATGTTTGTGAGAGATACTGGGCTATAATTTTGTGCTGTCATAATGTTTTAGTTAGATTTGGTATAGTTATTGGTGAATGGCTGCTCCTGATGTTCCTTGGTTCTTTGGATACAAGGTCAAATATCAGGACACTACAAAAGTACAGTAAAAGAATCACAGAGACTAAGAAGACAGCAAGGAATGATTTATTGGCAAAGCCAAAGTACACCTCCAGTCATGAGGTGGGCAGTTCACATAAGGGCCAACTACTCTGAAGTTGTAAGGGCCTGGAGTTTTATTGTCCTATAGGGTATGGTACATGGTACGAGGTGGTGTAAAATTGAGGTGTAGTCCCTCCTCAAATGGTTTGACAGTTGTGCAAAGTGGCTGCCTGGGTGTGGAAAGTCATATGCCTGAGCTTTTGAGAAAGTGAGAGCAAGCACCTGCACATATGATCCTCTTTGCCCTTCCCAGTTAAGGACATATAATGGTCATTACCCTGTTGGGTTATGCCTGGCCTTGCTATGGGGATGGGCTGCCTAAGGAGGATATAGGGCCATTATCTTAATTGTTGGTTCAAGCTGTGGTCCATTTGGGGGGGTCTTATAATTCCCCCACTAAGAAGGGAATGAAATCTTGTAGCCCAAGGCATTTCCTCCATCCTGCTCTTACCTACCTATCAGGATCAGTATGGCTAATAGTATTAGTGTGATGCTGGCTGCCTAATGTGAATTATATATTATTTCTGGTGGAGTTTATAGAAGATTGGTGTTTTATCTTCCTTGAGTGTTTGATTGAATTCACTGATAATTAAATTCACTCATCCGGAGCTTTCTCTATGGATAGATTTTTAATTGTTAATTTTTATTTCATATTGTCAGTTTTGGTAAATGGTATTCCAAGGATTTTTGTGTTTCATTTGTCATTGAATTTATTGTCATAAAACTGTTCATAATATTCGTAACATTTAAGATTTGTAGTAGTGTTCCCTCTTCTAATAGTAGTAATATGTGTTTGGTATTTTCTCTCTCTCTCTCTTTTTTTTTTTTTTAAATCAATCTTGAAAACTTTATTAAGGTCTTCAAACTATCTTCTTTTTGTGTCATCCTTATCACTAAGTTTTTCTTTTTCTTTTTCTTTCTTTTTTTTTTTTTGGTACTGGGGTTTGAACTCAGGTCTACACCTTGAGCCACTCCACCAGCCCTTTTTCTGTGATCGCTTTTTTCAAGATAGGGTCTCCTGAACTGTTTGCCCAGGATGGCTTTGAACCGAGATCCTCCTGATGTCTGCCTCCTGAGTACCTACAATTATAGGCTTGTGAGCCACCAGCACCCAGGTAGCTAATTTTTTCTTGTCATATTTAATCAGAGAAGGTAGTCTGTATGATCTTTTGGTTAAGACTCAGTTTTTAAAATGTATATAGTTAATTTATGATTAGTCTCTCCCTTTGATGTTCCATATAATATTGTTCAAATTGTCCACCCTGGTTTGTCCGTTTGGATCTTTGTTTCATTTCTGAGAGGTTGTTAGTTTGCAGCAGTGATTGGGAATTTGTCTGTTTTTTGCTGTTTTTTTCATATCGGCTTTAGTTAGAAAACTAAATATAGAAATATTTGAAGCTCCTTTATTAGTTGCACTATAATATCTTTCATAGTTTTTACTAATAGGAGATCTTAATTTTATTAGTACAACATCTTTTTTACCTTGAGTTCCAGTTTGTGTGATTCTCTACTATCTCATCTATTTTTTTCTTCTTTTTATTTACTTGTCATATATTTCTAAATTTTGTTGTAGGTTGTTTCTTGTAAATAGCATCTATGTAGATTAGAATACATTCAGACTTTTAAAAAATGGAATTCTAATTATGTTACTGTGATTGTTGATATTTTCTTTGTATACAGCTTTCTTCTTCCATTTTCTTTCTACTTTCCCCTACCTCCTTTGCCCCCTTCTCCTCCATTCCTTTTCCCTCCCCTTTCTCCCTTTTCCTAATGCAATCAGGGGAGAGCCTTTTGCCCAAGGCTTGTGACTTCTCCTTGCTTTTGGTACCCTCTATAGGATAAATAAAGCAGTGCTACTTAGTCTGTGCAGCAGCTTTCCCCCTGTGTAAGCCTCAAATCTCATTTCTGAATTAATGATTTATCAGATGTACTTCAGAAACGAGAAAACTAACTTGCGGGTGAAATATCTGTGGCAGAGTGGCTTGTTTCTTATTATGCTTAGGAGGTCTGAGGTCCCCGTCTTGACCTCTCTGCATATATGAGGTTTCAGACCCACATTGCAGGCTCAGTAAATGTGAAATTTAAATTTCAATTTGTTTCCTCGATCTTTTTCTCCCCACCCTGTATGGTATATATGTCATGTTTTGCTAGAAGAACATCTGAATCGAACTTTAGCAGTAAACCAATTCAAAGAAAGTTACAATGCCTTTATTCTTTCAGCTCTCTAGATTATCGTGGAGAAAGCCTCACTCCAGCAGTTGCTGATACTTCCTTCCCCTTCCCTTTTGTAAACAGTGAGCTAGACTCAAGTTCACTGCCTTGATAACACCAAAGTCATATTTAGCTATAATGTTGTAGTACTGTTGTTTTGTTTTCCTTTGTTTTTTGGTTATCTTATATTTTTTTCACAAAAACTTGATTTTGCAATCAAGTTTTTCTTCAAAATGTTTTAAAAGTTGAATCGGTTTTAAAGAAAAATACTAAAAACAGGTAGGGTAAAGGAGACTTGGCTAATTGCAGAGTGTGATGTTATCCATTCCCTTGTTGAGAAGGGATGAGTGAAATTTGGGAGTCACTTCTCTAGTATTTTCAGTCTTTTCAGTCATTACTGTTTTGCCTGCAACACTAAGCTGTTATTTAGCAAGTTCTAACCAGGAGTTTACTGAGTGCAAGCTTTGTATAGAGAACTGTGTCCTGAGAATACCGCGATCTGCACCTTGTAGTCTAGGTAGGGAGGAGAATATGTATCTGGAACTTAGCAGGTGTGAGTAGCCAGGTAAATGCTGGCTGTACTGATGAAGGAAGCAGAAATCATCTCTCACTGGGGCTGGAGGCTTTGCTCATACTTACCAGGTTTTTTGGGCAGTACTGGCATTTGAACTCGGGCCTAATGATTACTAGGCAGGCACTCTTCCACTTGAGTCACTCCGCCAGCCCTCCACGCTTGTGTTTTTATCAGGTGCCAGTTGCTCTTCTGCTTTGAATCTCTTTCTAAATCAGCATCAACTTTTGAGAGAAGGGGTTTCTTTGTAGGTGCTACTGTGAGAAGCACTGTACCCAGAGGGCAGAATGTTACCTTGGCCCTGAAACAGTGGCTGACAGAGTTCTGTCCTAGCACACCTGTTCTTAGAAGGAGAGCTGCCTTTTGAGGCCTGGCTTCATCTTTGTGGGTGATGATAAAGTCCAATGTCCTCCTGCTTCCTAAGGCAGCACATGTATGAGTTCTCTGTGATGTTTGTTTGTACATCAGTATTTTCTTCACTGTTTGAGACACTGATGGGTCTGATTCTGAAGGTACTTAGGTGGTTAATTATTTTTTCCCTATTTTTTCTAGGTCTTGATGCAGAACTTTATTATGTGAGAAACGACCTTATTAGTCACTACGCTCTCTCTTTTAACCTGCTAGTACCCAGTGAGACAAATTTCCTGCACTTCACTTGGCATGCGAAGTCCAAGGTAAGAGAGGGTCAGCAGACGTCATGACAGTCACTCAGCCCCAGAGGCAAGGGCTGTATTTAAGAAGTGGGCTGACATTGCCACAGAAGGGTCAGTGGGTGGTATACCAGAACACCGTGTTTTTTTAGATCATAGCTTAAATTTTGAGCCTGTTCCTTTCACATTTTCAAATCCTTTGCAGTGAAGATGGCCAGCCTTTAGTGATTAGCACATGACCGGACACTTGATCCTTTCATGTTTTTTCCATGGGATCTGTATCTAGCTTGGGAAGAGGGCTCTTGGGCCTGATAACGACCCTGCTGTTCCAGTGAAACCATGCGGGTGGGGCTGGGGAAACAGATAGGTCTTCTGGAATGTTTCGTAGTTCTCCCATTTGTGATGAAAGCAAGGGGCAGTAGACACAGCTACCTATATGCACTGTGTTGAACTCCTTTAATCCAAAGGGCTAAAACCCAAATACTTAAGAACCTCTTGTCTGGTTTACTTGTTGCTGAATTTTTCACATTTCCTCTGACCGCCTGGGTTCCTCAAATATGAGATTTTTCCCCAGGGAGGCTAGGTGTGGCGCTCCTACTTCCCAGCCAACTTTAGTTTCTTTTGTCAGCTTTATATATAAAAATACTTCTGAGTAGGATTGTATTTGAGAAATAAAAATAGTTCCACTACTAAAAATAAGAATACCTATTGTAGCCGTTTTGAAGTATTGTAGAGTAGTATCTGTTCTGATATTTGTTGCAAGTTTCAATTTGCATTGCTCTAATACAGATTTTTTTCCTACTTGGACAATAATAATGATTGTTGGGAAAATTCATATATTACAGAAATATTTTCAGAACTGTAAGACTTTATAGTTTTCCTTCCAGAAGTAGTCATTATTTATAGTTTGTTGTGACTTCTTCAGGGCCCTTTTCCCTTTATCTCACCTCTCCTTTAACTATGTCCCTTTTGTGTAATCACCATGCCCTTCTCTCTTTTCCTCATCCAAGTTATACTCCAAGAATTATTGTAAGAGTTGATTTTCTTTTCTGTCTTCACACTAGATGCTGAGTACCTTGATGGGCATCTGCTATGCCTGGTGTAGCACCTAGTACTGACTACAGAAGAAATGGACAGGTAGCAGCCACAGGGTACAGCTCTACAACTTCTGAGCAGTTAGAGCTTTTCAGAGTTGAGTGTGCTGCTTTAGGAGAGGGGATTTTGCTGTTTCTGAAGTGTGAAAAACAGGCTGGATTCCATGACAGTGGGTTCACACATGGAAGTTTTCAGATATTTTACCTTGAAGTAGAGTGAGGTTGTAAATTTGGAAAAATGAATGGAATTCATAGACTAGGTAGGTAGCTAAATTAATTTAACAAGTTCATCTGTGACAGACATAGACATTTAGGGGAAATGAATCATCTTAGTGTTGAAATATCCTAGTAAAAATCTAGTTTCAGGCTTCAGCCACTATTGTAATTCCTAGTTCCAGTTCTAGATAATAACATCTGCTGATTTTAGAAGTCGATTAATTGAAGTTTGTTCATTTGACATTTAATTTTATGAGTAGGCAATGTGTGGACATGGTTCAATTCAAAAGGCGTGAAAGATACATAGTGAAAAATAAGCCCTTCCTCCTTCCTAGTGCCATCCCTGAGCAATCCACTCACCAATTCCCCTTCCCTGAGTCAGCCACTGTTACCCATCTCCTCTGTGTGTGCACATGTATGTAAATATTAAGCAAATGCTACATACTTTTCTGCAGTTTGCAGACTACTGAACAGTGTATCCTGGTAAAGGTTCTCTGTTCCTTCATATAGAGTTGTACTTTTAATTCCCCTCCAAGTGGCTCTATCCTATTTCCTTATTTAGTTGTGCTTTAGTTTATTGATCAGTTCCTATAAGAGGAAACTAAGACCCAAATTTGGGAAGGTACTTGCTTAAACAGTAGGGGCAGAGAAGTGAGAGGTAGAGATCATCTGAAATGGGAAAGTCACCCAAGAGGGCAGGGCAGGGGAGATGTGACGAGTTCTTTACTTGGTTATTTGGCTCTGAGGTGCACTCATAAACTTTCAGAAGGATGGCTGTGGCTCCCAAGCTCTAACACTTTTATCAGAAATTTTTAGTTCTTGCTTTTTAAGATCTTGCCAGAAGATGAAATGTTTGCTTCCAAAGATCTCCAGACTCTCTGGCGTATCAGTTCAACATCGTAGATATTTTCACATTAGTTTTCACACATCAAAGCTTTTGCTAATAGAGCTGTTCTCCAGTGTTTACATGACTATTTTGTCTTGCCAAGGATTGTGGTTCCCTTAGAGGCTGGAGCTGTGTGTGTCATATTCTTAACATGTATGTCACACATGCCTGAGTGAGTGGATGGGAAAGAACATTGTGTTAATTGTATTTTGAGATGGGGTAGAACTTTGGCATTGATTCTCTCACAAGGGCAAACTTTTAAAAAGAGCAGATTATTGAGTGGTTTTAACAGGAAATGCAGTGGCATCTGTTAATTGTCAGTAGATACTTTAGATCGTCCAAAAGCAAAAGCATACTAAGATATAGTAGAGTGCTCTCACACTCTCTCTCCATAGTCGTTCTCTGACTTCAGAAATCCTTCGTTATTGTTCAGAAGAGTCTATAGGGCTGGGGACCAGCCTGCCATGTCTGCTTCGGAGTGAGACTTCTATGAGAAAAGGTGTATGCTGATGATATCAGAGAAATGAAAAGGCTATTTGACTGTAGGCAAGTGTATTTGCTTTCAATCTGCACTGTCTGTGTTTCAGCTTTCTGAATATCTGTAAAGACAGCTGTCTGTTGGCCGTTTTCTCCAAGGAAGGGAAGATTACCAAAAATGTTTATTTTGTAGCTTATTCAAATATTTACATTTTCTCTAGGTACTGAAGTATTTTGGCTCATTCTTTTTTTTCCTAATAAACAATTGCTGTTCAAATTCCTCTGTTCTAGTAGATTAAAAATTCACCCTTTGGATAGATCTATTTCTTCAAAGGGTGATTGGCAAGTAAGATTCCTTATAGATGAATACATGGTAAAGTAGAGAAAATTGGAGTTCAATAATTGACAGTTCTCTGATCCGAGAAACTGCAGTTTAAAAGTTGGTATCCCATGGGCTCCAGTGGGAGAAGAGAAGTGCCATGTGAATGCCTCCCGTGTTTGGGTAGTCCCTCAAAAAAGGGAACCTTGGGCAAAGGGCGTGCTTTCATATTTCCATTCTGTTATGTCCTTCTAAGCTATTGATGTGGCCAAAGTGTGGCCTTCTTGGCCACTTTGCCACCTTCCCTGATTCCACTCAACCTCCTCACCGTTCCCCTTCTCCTCTCCTTGCTATACTGAGATACTCGGGTGCTGCTCTTGTTACTTGCCCCCAACACTGCAGTTAGGGCCCTGGATCTCTTTGCTGTACCCTTTCTTTGCTTTTTTTTTTTTTTTTTGTGGTTACTGGGGCTTGAACTCAGGGCCTATACCTTGAGCCACTCCACCAGCCCTTTTTTTGTGAAGGTTTTTTTTGAGATAGGGTCTCATGAATTATTTGCCTAGACTGGCCTCAAATCACAGTCTTCTTGTTCTCTTGCCTCCTGAGTAGCCAGGATTACAGGGGTGAGTAACCAGCGCCCAGCCTCTCTCTGCTTTCTTAGGGAATTAGAACCCATCAGCTGTTCCTCTTCTGGCAGTAACTGAGACCTAGAATAAAAGAGACATCAAATTTGGAGAAACATGGTAAGTTTGGCTTTGAATCTGGTACACTAGAGGGCTGTCGGATTATGGGACATATGGGAGAGGTTGAGGATAGAGGAGACAAGAGAAACAAGTTGATTGTAGAGCTCATCACTGGTAAAATGGGCCAGAACTAGTGTACAAGTGAGAAAGATTTGTCATTTGAAGGGGAGAATGGCCTTGTTCTTGGGTCTAGTGTGTGGAGGATGGGTGTTATGACAGAAAAGAGGGCAGAAAATAAGTTCCTCTGTGCTAACTGGAGGGGTCAAGAACATTGTATGAGAGCAAGGAAGCGGGGAGGGCAGCAAGTGGTGAATCGGCAAGGGCCTGTGAGACTTGCAGTGCGAAAGAGTAGAAGAGAGGTCATTGAGAAAGGACTGCTGAGCACAACTAAGGGCCTGTCCTGAGAGGTTGCCATTCTTAAAGAGCACCTCTCTCCAGGATGTGATTTCCTCAGCAGACTGAGCAGCAGGAATAGAGTAAGGGGCAGTCAGGATGCTGGGCCGCTTTCCAAGGGAAGAGGGAGTGGACTAATAATGTCCCTTTTGGGGCATAGGTAGTGAAAACTGAAACCAAGTGGTCCTGGCTGGGCTAGAGAGGAAGGAAGTATTTTAATTGACTGCTGTATCCTCCCTCTGAGCGTAGCCCCTGGCTCATAAAGGTGCTGCATAAATGTTGGCTGACTTAGAGTAGTGGAGACAAAGAACTGGTTTTGTAGGAATCAGAGGTGGTCAGAGGTTGTGATGGGATATTTGATGGGATGACATTTTTGTATTTGTTTCAGTAATGAAGCAGTTTGGTAGTTTGTAGGAATGATCACTGAGTGTGAAAGCTAACAGGAGACATATAAAAGGTGGCAGGACACAAAGTGAGCCAGTGGCCAAGGCCTTTGCACAGTCCTGTGACCTCATGAGACCTTGCCATTCTGAGCAGGAGTGAGCTTCAGAGTAGAGTGGGTTTTGCATTAGAAAGGGATGTCTGGAAAGAACCTGATGGTCCTTAAAGAATGCTGACCCCACTCTGTAGGGTCTGAGGGTCAAGTGTTGTCTGAATGATAGGTTATCTCATGCCAAAGCCAGGTTGGGAGGTGGTGAGGAAGGTATTTGTGAAGAGGTTGAGGTGTGGGAGGCTATTCAGAATAATGAGGTTCCCAAAATGAAGGGCAGATAGGAAGTTCTGCCCCAGTGTTTGTGTCAAAATTCCTGGGGTTGGCAGCAGTCTGGTGGCTATGGAGAAGTACCGCATGGCAGTAGGGAGCATTTCTGGAATGACTGTGATTCCACAGGGCTCTGTGCTTATCAGAGGACCTGAGCCCGTCTAGCAGGTGCATTAATTATCTTATGTGATAATGTTACAAAAAACCAAAACTTGGAAAAGCTGCTAATTTATGTGAGGGTCACGTGGTCTCATGGCTCCAAATCCAGTTCTTGCCTGCTGTGCTAATTTCTTTGTGCATCTTCCTTTCCCTTGATACATGGTCTTGTTTGGAGATGCCATGATAGAGGTACACTCTGCATTCTTTTGATTCTATATGACTGGAAGGCCTTCTCATTCCCAGGCCCAACTTGCTTAGCTGTAGCTCTGTAGCACCCTCTGGTGGCAGCAATGATACTGTGCTGTGCAAAGGTGAGAATAAAGCTTCCCAGCCAAGATACCAAATATTGATGTGCTGTAGCAAAAACGTTTTCTTTGTTGTGAATGTGGCACCAAATACAGCTTTTAACATCTATTTATGCACTTATCTTAACTGAAAGGAGAGTTCAATATTCACATACCCCTATAGTGTTTAGCCTAGGGACTTGCAGATAGGGTGTCAAAAAAGAAACTCAAAGGACAACCCAACTTTTTGGGTTGAGCCCTGCTTTTCTATAGACAGCAATACCCACACTCTTAGCTGATGTCCAGTGGCCACCCCTTTTCTACAGCTTGGGGTGATACTCTTCTTTTCTTCTGTTATGGATAATTTTGTTGGCTTTTTTGTTTTTTAAAACAACTAACGTATAAACATAGTTAAGTATTCCCCATTAAAAAAAGAAGAAAGAAAAGTTTTGAGGACAACCCCCCCCACACCTGTTTTCCATTCTTCCTACTTAAGTAAGTCTCTTTTAAAATAATACTAATGCATAAAACTGCACATACTTATGGGGTGCCCTGCAGTTCTTCAAAATGTGTGCATCGAGAAGTGTTTACATCATCATTTTATCTTTTGTTTATGGTGAAAACATTCAAAGTTTTTCTTTTAGCCTTCTGATTTATCTAGCATATTGTTGTTACCTATAGTCACCCTACTGTGCAATAGCACACCTGTACTACTTCTCAATACTTGATCAATATGCCCCTCTCCCTCAGCCCCCCCCCATAACTACCCTTCTACTCTTAGGTTCTATGAGACCAACTTTTTTAGATTCTATATATGAATGAGAGATCATGCAGTATTTGTCTTTCTCTGTCTGGCTTATTTCACTTAATATAATGTTCTCTCGTTTTGTCCACGCTGTCACAAATGACAGGATTTCATCTTTTGATGGCTGAATAGTATTCCATTGTATATATGTGCCACATTCTCTTTATCCATTTGTTACCTGATGCACACTTGTGAATAGCACTGCGATTAACATGGGGATGCAGATGTCTCTGTAAGTTTCTAGGCAAGCATTCTCACCACTTGAACCACTCTGCCAGCCCTCTTTGCAAGTTTCTTAAAGAATGATTTCTTGCACCTCTGTCCTTATATTCTCTTCCCATCCTACTGCACCATTGGTTCTGCCAGTCCTAGCCCTCCAGCAAAGTTACCCTTTCACCACAGAATGGGAGAGAGTACTGTACTTATGAGGATCCCCATGAGCAACACAAAGAGTGTTGTGAAATGTTAGGCCTCATTGAAGATCTCGAAGATGGTGGCTATTCTGAATTTCAGCTATTGCTTCCCAAGAACACTCTGTAGCAACAGGGCTATAGTTATTGATGTTGGTTCGTTTGATTATGCCACACTGGGCAGTTGAGGTACTGATGGATAATATTGATGTTCCAGAGACGTCCATTGAGCCCTTCTGGATCCTGAATCACATGAGAAATAGATCGAGAGGTTAGAAAGAGATCCAAACATGATCTTTCTTAGTACTTGTGTTAACTTTCTGTTACTATAACAAAATTTCAGAGGCAATCAGTTTATAAAAGAATAAAAGTTTATTTTGGCTAACAGTTACAGAGGTTCCAGTCCATGATCTGTTGGCCCTGTTGCTTTGGGCCTGTGGTGAAGCAGCACATTGTAGCAGGAGCTTGTGATGGAGCAAAAAGTACTCAGCTCATGGCCAGAAAGCAAAGAGCAAAAGGAAGGGTGGTGTCCCACAATCCCAATTGGAGGGCATCCCTCAGTGACCTAAGGACCTCTCACTAGGCTCTACCTTCCATAGATTCTACCACCTCCCAATAGCACCACTTTAGGGACCAAGTTTTTAACACCTGGACTTTTGGGGGCCATTCAGAATTCAAACTAAAGCAGTGTGTAACAGCTGTACTAGAAAATATGGCTTAGATACTCTTAGGAGAAATTCATGTGTTGAAATCTGTTTATTACATGGAGACCCTCAGAGCACGACTTTTATCAACTAGAGAAGGCATTTGTAATTATGATCCATAAATTATCTATCAACTCAACTCCTTGATTCTTCATCTGGCTCCCAGGGCTTCTCCATTAATGACTAGAGTCCTCAGAAGTATTTCTGAATCCTTGATGGTAGGTTTTAGGGGAGAGTGGGAACTGTTCTGAATACCGGATACAGGAATGCTCACTAATTGAGCTTTTATCCAACTGAAAATTCCCAGGACTGTTTCTAATGATTTGGATTTTTTTGGTAGTACATGTGAAAGGCTAATGTACTGATTAATTAATGAGCTAATTAATGAAGTCAAGCTATTAGTGTCCTTTCTGTTATCACAGACCCGGTGTGTTTTATTTGTCTTCATTTATAGGTTGAATATAAGCTGGGATTCCAAGTAGACAATTTTGTGGCTATGGACATGCCCCAGGTCAACATTTCTGCTCAGGGGGAAGTCCCACGCACTTTATCAGGTGAGTAAGTATCCTCAGAGACAGACTTAGTACACTGCCGTCAGTTTTGTCACCCACATTCCCAGGATACTTTAGTGATGTGTGTCTTACTTGATTGGTATAAGATGTATAGGTACTTTCAAAAGTAGTTTTTCTACATACTGATTGTTTACACTGTGTTCTTAAACCACGTCTTCTTTTCTGTCCTTCTAGAACTGTCCGTGCTCAGCTTTTTCTTACTTCCTTTTCTGCATTCCTGGCACTGGCTCTACGTGAGTCCCTGTCTCTGGTCTTACTTTTTTTGTATTAATTCCTACATCCCACAGTGTGTTGTGGATGGTCATTGCACATTGACATCTGACCCCATGACTTCAAGCTTATCAGCACCACTATTCTGTGAACAGATACATTGTAGACTCCCCAGCCTGGGTACTGGATCCTTTGCTATCTGCCCCTGCCTGTGCACTTGCCCAGCATTCCAGCAGTTCAGACCCATGCAGTTCTGATGTCCAGGCCTTTGCATATGCTGGCCTCTTATTAGGAACCATTTTTTCTGTTTTCTGCTTGTTAACTCTTGTTCATCCCACTCATTCTTCAAGAATCTGTACTGTTCTTTTCCCGCCCCCTTCCCTCCCTCCAATCGTTAACTCTTCTCTTCTTCTTGCCCCATTGCAACTTGCATTTGGTTGGTTTTGAGCTGATTATGTCATCTGGTAATTCCCTTGGTACCTAGGTAGCAGCTAGCATGAGATAAACAGTTTGTGCCTGAATAAATGAAATTTATCTTATTTGTACCAATTTAACCACTTTTGAGCTAATTTTTTAAAGAGGGCTCTTGAACATGTAGGATTTTAAAGGAAATGAACATTTTTCCCACTTTTTTTTTTTTTTTTCTTTGCAGTATTGGGGTTTGTGTTTGCTAGGCAGGTGCTCTAACACTTGAGCCATGTAACCAGTCCAGTTTTTTGTTTTGTTTTGTTTTGATGTTACTGGGGCTTAAACTCAGGGCCTTGTGCTTATAAGCACCCTAATACTTGGGCCATGCCTCTAGCCTATGGAAATGCAAATTTTAAAACTTGAAAGTATAAGCCACAGCAGTGTTGTGGAACTTTTTTGGAGTTTTATTCTGTTATTAATAATATACGTTAATCTAAGCTTTAAGATCCTGCAGAAATGCTGGTCAGTAAAGAAGTTCAGAAATCCTGAATCTCTGATACCTTATATAGATGGTAAAATAATATGTTCTAAACATAAAATATATACTAATAAGGATAGATAGATAAATTAGTGAGAAAAGAATCCTAAACTGAAAGATTAAAAAAAATGCATGAATGTCTGCTGTCTTATTGTTATAATTATTAAAAGTGCATGTTTTAAAGTCAGTTTCTATTTAGAAGGGCAATGTTTTAAATTCATAGTTGAAAATTTTTATTTACATATTTACAACTAATTTTTTCTTTTACAATGATAGTATGTCTTTATTTTCTAGAACTTTATTTTCTTTATTTCCTAGGACTAATTGTGAATAATTACTCTTTTTTAAGTCAATAAATTTTTACTTAATAATTTATAAATAAAAAATTTTTTTGGTATTCATTAGATTTTTTTTAAAAATTAGGATATATTCATAGTATAGTGGGGATTCATTGTGACAATTCCAAATAGGCTTATTTTGTTCTTTGGTTACATCACTCCCATCGTCCCTCCCTCTCAACCCACTTCCTGACATAAAAATTTGCTACATGTTATGATTAGTTCACTGCATATCAAGGTCACCTCTAAAGCTGACTTTTCTTCAAGATAGCCCTTTTTAAAAGATGCTTAATCCAGTTGTCCTGTCAGCCTTACATAACAAAAACATAAGAGATGATCACACCGTAACCAAGAAAGAGCCCTGCTACATACAATTACATACAAATGTTGCAGTGTTGTAAGTATTTAGTTATTATAAAATCTCATTAGCAATGAAGTAGAGATTAGAAAAGTCCTGTGGGGTTTGCACAGTTATTTCTACAGGGCAAAATTGTTCACAGTAGATTGATTTTTAACAAGGTAGCATGTAGAAAGCCTAGTGGGAAAATTTTTTATCATCATGTTGACAGTAATTACTCTTTTGAGAGAGACAGGTTTTAAAGGTGATCAGTAAAAGTACTCCAAAGATAGTACTTCCAAACATGTTACATACCCATTTGCTCCCAATATGGATAGAAGGTTTAGATTCACATCTGCCAACTGTTATTCTGTATTTCTAACAGGAAGCTCACTGTCTCCCAGTTCCACTGTTTCTCCAGTTCTTTTCCTTTCCATAGCCAAGGTTGAACTGTAAAGGAGGCTTCTGCCCTAAGAATGGTTGTATATTTTATTCTAGACACCCTGCATTTCCCCTGTACATAGTAGCAGTACATATGGCAGTGCTATTAGTACGACCTTCATTGTATTCTCTCACATCTTTAAAAGTATTAATTAGAACAGTTAAGAACAATGCATTTTGGTACTGAGTTCTTTCCTTTTTAATCATGTAATTTTTATTGTTACTGTTGCTAGTGTGACTGGTAAGGTCAGCAGTGGTTGCCTTATTCTCTACTTTAGTATAATGAAATAGCAGGACTTGTACAAGGAAAAAGTGATATATTAAAAATCATGAGCAGAAGTTAAAAATAATTGTTCCTTCGTTTATACCTTGCTCTGTTCTTCAGTGCTAACTTTTGTTATCTATAATGAATGAAATATTTAATGTCTAGAGCTGTGTTAAGATGTGTTCTCTGCCTGGCACCTGTGGCTCATATTTGTAATGCTAGCTACTCAAGAGGATCATGGTTCAAAGCCAGTCTGGGCAACAGTCCTATCTCAAAAATACCAACACAACAAAGGACTGGCAGAGGGCCTCCCTAGCAGGTGTGAATACCTGAGTTCAAACACTAGTCTGCCTCCTCCACCCTCCAAAGAAAATGTGTTCTGAAAGTTTGTTTAGTTAATTTATTAAGTGTAGTTTTGCTTTTAATGGAGCACACATAATTCTAAAATGTTTAATAGTATGATTTTGGGGCATTAATGTTGATTTTTTTTAGAAAACTAAAATATTTTCTTTTATTTCTTTTAAACAGTGTTTCGGGTCGAGCTTTCCTGTACTGGCAAAGTAGATTCTGAAGTTATGATACTAATGCAGCTCAACTTGACAGTAAATTCTTCAAAAAATTTTACAGTCTTAAATTTTAAACGAAGGAAAATGTGCTACATAAGTAAGGAATTTATTCAACAAACTTTTATGTAGATGTGAGATGGTTAACAGATTGTGTTGTCTTTTTACAGATTTAATTATGACCAACTCTTGATTACAGTTGCAAATGCAAAAAGAAAAAGCAATAGATAGTCTATATGGAGGATCTCAAGTAGACCTCACTTAGTCCTGCATTCTCACTTTGTCAGAATTGCTAGGGTGTTTTCCACTAGAAATGTCAAATTGTACCTGTTTCAGGGGATTTTTTTAAAGGTAATTAAATCTAGCCTAAAATTAGAATATAGTATGTAGTTAACCTAGTAAATACTAGTTGTTTTTGTTTTTTAATTATATTGTATTCATTTAAGTTATGTAGATAGAAAGAGTTCCAGGACACTAGGTCATAGATCAAAAAATTTAAGAGTTCTTAAAGGTTATCGAGTCTAACCCACTCACTTTAAATTGCACAGAGGTAAAGTGACCTTACAAGTAAATTTATAAGGTCACATAAATAGAACTGGATATATTTTAGGTAGGAAAAAACAAAGCAAAACAAACCCTAAACTTGACCAATGATTACTATGTTCTGCGTGCTTTACATATGCTAATCCCATTTAATCCTTGCAACAACCCTAAGCAGCATGTTCTCATTATCCATTTTCAGAAGAAGCCATGGTTCAGAGAATCTGGCTAACTTGTGGAGGTCAAGCAAAGTGGTATGGCTGGGGTACAAACTTGTGGTCGTAGCCTCTTTGTTAAACTGTCTGTTAAATTTCCTGGTGATATTAGTGCTGAGTGTAACGAAAATACCCAAGACCAGCAAGTGAGTTATAATGGCATACGTCTAATTAACAAGCTTTACTGCATGAAAACAGACATTTAAAAAATAAAGACATCTTTACCTTTAGTGTTTGGATACATTTTCAGTTCTAGTGAATTCAGTTGTGTACCTACTTCCATGTAATTTTAAAGCCAAAAGGGACTGTAGAGACTCTGAGTCAACCTAGTCATCAAATAATTGATATGAGAAGACTGGCCCTGGACAGGCCACCTAGGTTTGCATAGCCAGTCAGTGATAGGACATAGGACATCCAGTGCCTGGAGTGGCAGTGATGGTACTGTATGCTTCACCTGCTGTTTTTAACAGCACAGTAGTGGTCAAATGCAGTATGGTCTGACGATCCCATCACTGCCACCGTGTGCTGAGGTTAACAATCTACTGATTCTCAGAATGATTCCATACCTTCTCCAACTTCTTTAGTAGGTACGTGAAAACTAACATTAAAATTCCCTGGTGTAACTTTCTATTCAGTTTATAGTTAACATAGTACTAACCATCTTTATTTGGTGGCCATATTTTTGGCCACTGTAATCATGCAATTTGTAGTCTTTAGGGGTATTTTCTTTTTGGTGGTACTAGGGTTTGAACTCAGGGCCTCACACTTACTAGGTAGGCACTGTACCACTTGAGCCACTCCACCAGCCCTGTTTGTGTTGGCTATTTTCCAGATAGGGTCTCTCCAACCATTTGCTCCAGGCTGGCTTCAAATCTCAGTCTTCCTGATCTCTGCCTCTTGAGTAGCTAGGATTATTGGTGTGAGCACCTGTGCCTGGCCAGCCCTGTATTCTTACTTTAATATGTGGTCCTAATGGGCTTATTTCTCTGTTTTCTCAGCCTACATTTAAAAAAAAAAAAACAAAAAACAGCAGTAAGGAGCAAATCTGTACTGTTTGGAACATTAATAGGTGTTACTGCCTAGAAAAAATTCCTTTATTGTATGAGGGAGGGAACTATGGGTTAGACAAATTTTGTTACTCTAGAACTCCGATGCCTCTCCATGCTGCTGATGTGCATGGCAAATCTCCATGACACATACTGTCTGTATTCTCCCATGCTTCTTGACCATAGAAACCATTTTTCATTGGGTAACACCTTTTGGCTAACACTGGCATCGCTACTTTTTGATTGACAATTATACTGATGATTGTCAGAACAGTAAAATAACTTTCATTATTGTGCAACAAATACTTTGTTACTTACTTTAAGTAATGTTCTGATAGAACACAAAACTATGTTAGAGAAAATTCAGAAAATGTTATTATAGTACTTAAGGATTTTACTAGAAAAGAATTTCTAAATTATTTTTAATTTCCCTTTTAATTCAGAACTTGAAGAAGTAAAAACTTCAGCATTGGACAAAAACACTAGCAGAACTATTTGTAAGTGTTCCTCTATTGTCTTTCTCCATTATTAGGCATAAAAAAGTGGTCGATTGTATATGAACATGCTTACATGAAGCTTGGAAACCTTGTGGTTTCCAGTTTGTCAAATGATTATAATACCCTGCTATTCATTTTGCTCATGTATTATAGATTGGTATATAGGTCAAATGAAGCTCTCAGAATATTGAATACTTTGAGAAGTAAAATTCATATGAAATTCATACATTCATTTTATAACAAGTTAGTTGAAATCTTTTGGAAGCAAGGATTTACATCATGCCTTCTCGAGTGGTCATAATTAAAGAATGAACATAAAAATAAAAATATGTGTAAGATCCTTATTAGCAGAGTGTTGGAAAATCTGGCATCCGTGGCCTGGACCTAACCCTTAGCTAATTTCATCCAGCTGAAAATGCAAATTTATGTTATTTAAACCTTCAGAGCAGAAACACTGCCCAGCAGAGCAGATATTTATTTGTTGGTATTGGTTGTATTTAGATACCATAACAGGTTCCTTTTTTCCTTTTCTAATGTGGGCACATCATTAAGTCTTACTCTTCTTGAGATAGTACTGATAGCAATATCTTATTTCCATGAAAACAGACTAAAAAGGGGGAGCAAATTTAAGGGGAAAATTTCACATACACAAATTTGAGATTTGTGCCTGTGAACTTTGATGTTCCCATCATCTGGTTTCAGTGATGATAAACATTTTGCCAGTATTCTTCCATTGATTGCCTCCTCTGTTGTTTTGTTGGCTAGGGATGGCTTAGAGTACTTTAAAGCACATCTCAGACATCATATCATTTTACCCATAAATATTTCAGTGTTATGCTGGGTGCTGGTGGCTCATGCCTATAATCCTAGCTACTCAAGGAGGCAGAGATCAGGAGGATCGCAGTTCAATGCCAGCCTGGGCAAATAGCTTGTGAGACCCTATCTCAAAAACCCTTCACAAAAATAGGGCTGGTGGAATGACTTAAGGTGAAGGCCCTGAGTTCAAGCCCCAGTATCAGAAAAAAAAAAAAAAAAGTCTTAAAAAAAACCCCAAACCCGACAGTCACCCAATACATACTCATTTTGATTTATCACATATTGCAAAATGAACACTAATTCCTTCATATCTAATAGCTTTCTGTGTTCAAATGAACCTGATCATGTCAAAAACATCTTTCTATAGTTTCTTTCCCCTGAATCAGGATCTAATTGAAGCCCATACACACTGTATTTGGTTGGTACATATTTTGTGTTAATCAGAAAACACTTCCCTTTATTACTATCAGTAGAAGTTTTTTTGTTGTTATTGTTTTTTGGTGGTATTGGAGGTTGAACTCAGGCTCTCATGATTGTTAGGCAGGCAGTCTACCACCTGAGCCACTCTACCAGTCCAGAAAACACTTACCTTTGTTTGTGAAATTACATAATTTCATCTTATAGAAATTCCCACATTCTGGATCCTGCTGGTACCATTTGACCTGTTTTTGTCTTTCCTGTAAATAGTAATTAGGTTTTGCACTTGATTAATTCAGGATCAACTCTTGGCAAAAATAGTTCATGGGTGGTCCTAGGTGTTCTTATTTCATCTTTTTATTACCTCTGGAGTGCAAAGTATCTCAGTATTCCAATGTAGACTTTTTTCGAAGGTAAAATAATATGAGAGATTGTCTACTTGTTAAAGATTCTGGGAAAGAAGAAAAATATTTTTAGTTCTGTCACTGCTTCCAGTTTTTAAAATTCTGGCAGTTTAATCCATTTCTTTTATGCTAGTAGTGTATTATTTCTCACTGAGAAAGTCTTTGCCTTTGTTTTCCTCTTTCTTACTCCCTCCCTTCCTACTTATCCACAAATTCAGTGTTTTTGACTGACTGGTATGGCTGAGGCAGAGGATTAAACTGAGCAAACAGACCCTGCCCTTAAGGACTTAGGGCTTTATGGGGGAGATGGACAAAGGCAGCAGGCAATGATAACAACATAGCACGGCAGGCTTTATGATAAGGTGAGCACAGGGAGACTTTGGGAACCCTGGGGAGGGGCATGTAACCTTTCCTGAGGGAGTGAGGGACAGTTTTCTTAGAAAAGTGACATCTCAGACCTGAAGGGCAACTGGGTGCTGACATGTGAAGCATCACACTGAGGGGATGGGAACAGTCCATACACAAGCCTGGCAGTTGGAGTCAATTGAGCAGGGTGCCTGTGACTCAATCTACCCAGCAGAGCCATGGCCTCTACTCTCTCTGCTCTGGCAGTGCCAGCACACGCCTCCATGACTTTTCCATCCCATGCAAGTCCACACAACCTGCTATGGCCCATAGAAGTTCTTGAGAAAAGTTTTGCCTCTAGTTGTCTCAGAAACCAGTTCATCTCTTTGTTTTAATCTACTCCGATTTTTTGTTTGTTAATTCAAAGTTTAAATTTATTTATTTATTTTTGGTGTTTGGAGACAGAGTTCCAGCCTCACCTGGAACTCGCTATGTAACCCAGGCTTGCCTTGAACTTGAAATCCTCTTGCCTCACTGTTCTGAGTCCTAGAATTTCAAGCATGTACCACCATACCTGGTTCAAAGTTTAAATTTTCAAAAGCTACCTTGTTTGCCTTACTTCTGTTTTTAAAAGCTATAACTTTTATCTTTTCTTCAGACCTATTCCCAGAACTCTATACTTATATATCTATCAATATGACATGTCCACATGTATGATGTGTACTACAAACTCCAGATTTAATTTGGGCAAAACAAAACTCTTGATTCTCAACTGCTCTCAACCTGCTTCTTTTTAGTCTTTGTGGAGGTAGCATTCTTCAAATAATTCTTAAGCCAAAGCTTTGATTCCTCTTTCTTGCAACTTTAGTAAAGTCTACTAATAAGGTTTGTTGACTGCTTCCAAATCCATTCACATCTCATCTTTACTATGAGACTCTTGATGAAGCACTTGCTGTCCCTTTCTTGGACTGCTTTAGTAACCTTCTTGCTAGTTCCCTGCTTCTGCTCTTGCTCCTCTGCGCATTCTTCACCCAGCATTCTCTTAGAATTCTGTAAGAGGTACATGTATCATTTCTTACAGTGATTTTCCATCTCATTTAGAATGGACTCCAAATTCCTCAGGTTTTATTCAGTGCAATTATGATGTGGCACTCATCATCAGAACTTAGGTGAATCCCCAGTCATACCAGTTCTGCATGTTCATGTCTTCACTCCCTTCTCATAATACAGCTTTGTCTCTATGCACCTCTTCTTAGTTTGTCTTTCTTTCTTTCTTTTTTTTTTTTTTTAATTACTTTGTTTTTTTGAGACAAGGTCTTGCTATATACCAGGCTGGCCTCAAACTTGCAATCTTCCTGACTCAGCCTTCTGAGCACTAGGATTACAGGCATGTACTACCATTCCTAGCTTTAGTTTGCCTGTGTGTGTGTGATTAGATTATTTTTCCGATTACTGAGTTTTCTGTTTCTTTTAAAAATAATGAAAGCCTAATATAATTTTATTTAATCAATAGGATCTTTAAAAACAGACAAGTAAAATAACTACTACTGTTAAAAAATCTGTAGGGTAACTATTACCAATCTGTGGCTCTTAAGCTTTAAATTAATTAAAATGAAATAAAATTGAACTTTCATGTTCACAGATATACCAGCCACATTTCAATGTTGCTGGCCAGTGGTAGGCTACTGTGTTGTTCAGTACACTGTACGCCATTTCTTGCAGAAAATTATGTGGGATAGCACTATGGCAGTGTGTTTTACGCACTGGTATATTTTATGAATACCACATGTAATGACTATTATACTTACTACACAGAAGTTTTATTTAAAACCTTTTTAAAAAACCATAACAAAAGCATCAAAAGATTGTGTAAATGTACATCAACACTCTAGATAATAAACACATGAAATGCAAATCTTTTTTCAAAGCACAGGGTGCTCATTGTGTATGTTGGATCAGAAAGCAGTCAGTCATACTTGTTTAAAAGCTTAATCTGCTTCTCATTTTATTTCAGATGATCCTGTACATGCAGCTCCAACCACTTCTACGCGTGTGTTCTATATCAGTGTAGGGGTTTGTTGTGCCGTAATATTTCTTGTAGCAATAATATTAGCCGTTTTGCACCTTCATAGTATGAAAAGGATTGAACTGGATGACAGGTATTGTACATGTTTTGGGAAAGGAAAATAATATAAGTATTTATTTCCAGTATGCATGAGAGCCCACACAAACTCATGTACACTGCTATGGGGGGAAGGAGGGAGGATGATCAAGCCCTAGCTAAAGGAAAAATAAGATGTACTCATCACCATCTTGTGTTTCTCTGGTTTTATTTTTAAATTTAAAATTTTGTGCAGCCATAAATTACACCTTATTGTTGGGAAAGGAGTAGAAATCAAATATGATTTTTCCATCCCATTGTCCTGACTCTACTCCAGACTCCCATTCCTTTTAAAAATAGCCGTTTCTTCCTTCTAGTTCTTCCTCTTATCATTTTCCTTCCATCCATCCATCCATCCATCCATCCATCCATCCATCCATCCTTCCAACACTTAATGAGTATCTGCTGTGCTTTAAACCATTGACTGTCACCCTAGGTACACACTAGAGTCATGGAGAACCTTTTAAAAATACCAGTACTCAGATCTCACCTTCCAGTGATTCTGATGTAATTGGCCTGGGGTAGTGTCTGAACATCAATATTTCTTAAAGCTTCCTGGATGATTCTGATGTACAGCCAGTTTGAGATACACTTGGTTAGATAATGTACTAAGTGTTGGAAATACAAAAATTAATGATGCACTTCATGGTGTCAAGGAGTTCATCTTTGACATTAACCCGTAATTATAAAAGTATATAAAATTGATGATTGTGAGATTATAGTATGGAAAGACAAAAGGTACTTGTCCCAGCCTGGGTCAGTCAGATGACAAGGAGTCTGACATTACAGTCAGGATAGAGTGAGAGGTAAAGATGGAATGGTAGACAGGTTTTCACAATCCACAACTCTCTTTTTCCCTCAGTGATTCCCAGTTGCTGACAACATATTCCCAGCCTCACGACTTGGCTTTGAGCCTTTCTTTCCCCTTCTTACTGTCTCTTTACTTGTGCTCCAGTCAAGTAATATCTTGCTCCTTCTTTGTGCCCTGCACCATGCCCTTCAGGACTTTTAAAAGTTTGTGCTTTCCTTTCATCTTTCATCCACAGTACTCCTTGAATTTCCTACCACTCCAAATCCTGTCCATTCTTCATGCTTCAGCTCTATTGCCATCTTTTTCATGAAGTCTTTTCTAAGCCTCCCTACCATCTGTTTCTCCTCTCTCTGTCTCTGTCTTTTGGTGGCAATTACTGTACTTTTTCCTTCTAAAATTTTTTGTGTACTTGTCTTATCTTCCTACTTGAATGTAAACTCTGTACAGTTAGGGGCAGAGAGCCTTACTGATGAATCCCCAGTCTTAACATGGTGTCATAAACAAAAAACCAAGATGCCAGAACTGGTTGGGTTCAGTACCTTCCTCTGTATTTTCTGCCTCTACTGTGTTCCTTTCCTTACCTGAGTAGAGAAGGAAGAGGTAAGAGTGAGAAGGGAAGTATACTGGTGATGTTTCAGAATTTGCATTGTGTACATGGTGGTATTGAAGGGAGATTTAGAATTTACAAAAGAAGAAATGATATTTGGAAGCATTTGAGGGGATAAAGTGATAATGTGAACATTTTGTATAGGGCTTTGAGGGATGATGTAAGGAGAGTTGCAGGAGTCATTGAAGAGTATGATATTCAGAAGTCAGTCTTGATACACACAAAGAGTTGCATTTTCCTTGAATGTTTGCATGTGTGGTAGGGCTGTGAACCCACATAGGCCAGAATTGTGCAGATTTCAAATTCCACAGGGCACATTGTTCTGCTTGTGCCAGGGGCAGTTGGAGCCCATTTGTGTGGCTTTCCCTCTCCCAAAATGCTCATTGATCTGTCTAACTTCTGTGTTATGCCAGACAAGTAGTCATGGAGAGGCAGAGCTCTCCGTGTTCACTCTAAAGTCCTCCACAGAGAGGTTGATCTGCAGTATGTCCATTCTGTGGTCTTCCTCATCAGTTTGTGATTAGGAAATTTCATTCATTTTTTTTGGGAAGGGGATGGTTGAACTTGTTACATTGGCAGTACCCTCATTTTCCTCTTCTAGTTTCCATTATCCTCACCATCCCACTACCTCCACCATTACTGGTGACAACAGCTCCTTACTTTCTCTTTGTTTCTACACTTAAAGTCTAACACACGGATACATACATAGTAAGACACTCAGTAACATTTTTTGAAAGATAAATACAGGGAGGAAAAATATTTTGTTATACCAATAGTTCTTTGCTGTTTTTAGTATACATCAGCAACTCTGTTGGAAACAACCATTCTGTCTAGTTTATGTCTTTACATTCCACGAAAGTGTGGTATTCTCTTTCATTGATGGGTTGATTTACTCAGTGTTTTTCAAGGTCTCTCTGGGGCTCAGTTGGGCCCCTTTAGGATGATGCCAAGCACTGGCTTAAGTACTGGGAAGGGAGGAGTGAGTTTACAGTCTGCTTCCGTGAGACAGACATTAAACAAGAAATCCCCACTGGTATGTGGGGAATGAAGCTGTTGGTTGTGTTCACTACTGTATCTTCAGCATCCTGTACAGCACCTGGCATGCAGTAGAGACTTGGTAAATACTTGTTGATTAGCAAATAAATAAGTGAATGGCACACACACACACACACACACACACACACACAACAAACGTACAAATTGTGATGTGTTTTGAAAGAAAATCAGGATCTTTGCCCACTTGCTTCTGAAAATCAAATTCATTTAGATTAGTCTTGAACTATGAAGTGTTGGCAGGTATACTTTTGAATCTCGTTGTCTCCCTCCTGTGGTACAGCTGTGAAAGTGTGAACTGTAATAGGTGTCAGGAGTAGGTTCCCAGCTGCTCCTTGTTCCCCTTATAACATAGGTCTTGGGTCCACAGAAAGCTTTCTCTGTCCATTTAGCACAGTGCTTTCCTCCCTCCCCACTCAGTATCTACTAAGTGAATGAAAAGTTAACATCGACCTGCCCATGATGCTTCTGTGCCCACAACCTTAAAAACCCTAAGGTGGCACAGGAGTGCCACCTGTTGTTCAGCTGCTAGAGAAAAATGTGGTCTGTTTATTCAGCCATTAGCAGTGTTGGTTGCAGATAGTATTTAAATTGTGCTTTCACATGCATCATAAATTTGAGCCTCACAAAAATCCTGTGAGGTAGATTTTCTTAATCCCATTTTATGAGTAAGTCAATAGAAGTCCTTTATTTCCTCCCTCTTTGAGGGTGATGGCGGTTCTCCTTCCTCCCCATTACTGATATTGGACTTCAAACAACTTTGATTTCTAGTCTGATCCTTGAGTAGTATTCAGATCTGCAACTTCTGCAGTGCTCCTCGCCATTCTAAGGATTAGGGGTGCATAATAGTTATAATAATGAAAACAATTAGAAACAAGGTATATATCTGAGGGCCAGGCACTGTCCTCAGTGCTTTCCTTACTTGTCTTTCATATAATCCTGTTAGCAGTCTTGTCAGGAGATAGCATTATGCTCTGTCTAGGAGTTTGAAACTGCAGAAGGACTGAATTCTTTGCCTAACTCATGCAGCTAGTGGTAGTGCTGGTAGTCATGATTTCAAGATTTATGCTCTCTGTCGTCTTCTTACTGCATTACCTGCAGGTGTGAACTCATGTAGATCAATTATTGAATGATCTCCAGACTTGAGAGCTCTTTCAGAACTCAGACTAAATGATGGCCTGATGAGTCCCTATTATATTCGCTGATTTGCAAAGTATCTTCAGCGGAGTGGCTGGGGGAACAGGGCTGACTGCAGCCCCAAAGGAAGAAGTAGCTAATCTGAAACGATAGGGAGCTCAAGGAAAGGCATGCCAAGGGGCATCTCAGAAGGTAGACAGCCATTTTGAGATATATATGGTGTGCTGACCAGGACAGCTTGTATATAAGTACTCTCCTAATGTTTATTTATTGAAGGGCATTCCTGTCTTAGTTTTTTACTATGACTTTTCAGAGGTATTTTAGTTATAATAGCAGATAATAATAGCTTCTACTATTAGCAATAAAAAGGCTACGTAGGGGCTTAGAGTAAGTCAATAGAAGGGGCTCATTGGCTGGATATTTACATTTTTCAGATGTATGTATGGGCAGATTACATAGCATCCCTTTGTCATTATTGTTTTTTTAAATACAGCACTATGGTGCATAGACAAGTCAGTTATAAGATTTTCCATACTTATGCAAGTTGGAACCTCTGAGTGGGCTCAGCTGACTCGGTAGCTAAGAGAGGCATGGGAGCCCTATCCTGCCATCTACATTAACTTTTCATGCTGAGTATGAGTGCTTCACTTCTCTTATAAGAGCTAAAGTACTGAGAGTGGAATGTGTCCAAGGGCGATCTGGGACAAGGTTGCTACCCACTGAAAAGAAGGAAAAACATCTTTGGGAACCATTAATTTGTGTCACTGTCAAGCACAGGATTAGCAGTTATTTGCACCTGCCATCTTCTGGGTCTCCTGTTTCGTTTAGAGAATATAGTATAATTTAATGTTTTAATACTAGAGATTTTTGAACATTCTAACAACAGTGTATGTGATTAAAAGTCTTGAACCACATAATAATATTCCTTCCTAAGTTTTGAGGATGTTGGCATGTTGATGTGGTTTAATACCCCCTCATCTCTACACCATTTCATTTGTAGCCATCATTAAAAGGGTCCTGTCTTTCTGCTCCTTTTCTGAAAAGCAATTTAATTGAATGGCTCAATTCAATTTCTTGAGATGAGCAATAATTCCCTAACATATCCTTGTGTAAAGTTTAGGACTGCTGTTTGAGGACTAGTACCTACATTTCTGAATAATTTTGCTAGGTGACCCTGCTTGATGATTTGGGGGGTAGAAATAGAGCTCTATATTATGAGGCTGATTAAAATTGCAGCTTGAAACACTGTGATAGAGATTCACATGTTATTGTGATCTCATCAGGATTTTAGGCAGGTTACAGTGCTTACACCCATTTTGTATGTATGGGAAAGAAATTTGTCATGGAGACTCACTTGTCAAATGTTTCTCTCTGAAAAATCATTTGCAGCATCAGTGCCAGCAGTAGTTCTCAAGGGCTGTCTCAGCCGTCCACCCAGACGACTCAGTATCTGAGAGCCGACACACCCAACAACGCAACTCCTATCACCAGTAAGAGTTAATTTAATTCCAAAGCTGTTACCCAAGTTTCCTGTCGGTGGTCCTGTATGGTTAATGCACTTGTGCATCATGTGTTCCATGTTAAACACATAGTATCTAACTTGTGCCAAAGTAGGTATGATCTGGAACTTTTTGCTTTCTAGGGAATTGAATGAAACATTTTTAAATTGGGTATTAAAAGTAAAATTTAAGTGTAATTCCTACAATTAATTTTGGCTTTGGGGAGATTTTTGTAGCTAATTATATTAAAAGAATTGCTAAGTTAATTCTTTAGAAATTTAGGTAGTTTTATGGAATAAGCTTTTGTGTTACATAAACACAGCAATTTTGGTTTTTAATGAATTGTCTTATGGGACTTTATTTACACTGTTTGGTGCTAGGGATTGAACACAGGGTCTCCAGTGTGCTAAGCATGCACTCTACCACTGAGCTATACTCCCAGCCCTTTACACTGTTTTCTAATCATACTAGGAAGCTAGCTACCATTGGAGTGTTGAGAACATGGAGTCTGATCCCCTACACACCATGGTGGTGCACATTAAACCCCGGGGCTCACACATGTTATGAAAGCGCCCTGTCACTGAATTACATCCCCCAGCCCCTAACTTCATTTTTATGAACAGGTTTCACACACTTTCAGATGTTTGAGGGAAATTAATTCTTTTTTAAAAATTGTTAATCAACAGATTATGGTACATACTATACACAATGGGTATGATGTATGTATACAGTAATATAGTTATTCTTAGAATATAATATATCTATAATGAGGAATCAGTTCATGCACAAATAAAACCAACACAATCATCAAATCATCAGGATATAGTGGGCCAAAGAACCACAAATCAGGTCTTGCCTCAGAGGTGCCATTAATTAGGATTTTGTAGGCAATTAACTGTTTCCCTTGGGCTGGCATTTTCTCTTTAATAAAATACGAATATCTGTCTGCTACCCAGTGCCCTGTTGTGGTCTTTTGATAACTTTCCCATTAAAAAAAAAAAAACCAAGATTTATTGGAGAAAGGACTGATCCCAGGTCTGGGTCAGTAAATGAACCAGGACCTGTTGTTGAGCAAGATATCATGGATGCTGCTGCAGACTTGACAAGCTCCCACTGGCCAAAGATGGAATCATTTGACTATTGGACAGAATAATGACTACACTGAATTGGAACATAAAGTGTGTAAAAATTGATACATTTGTAATTTTGAGACAAGGTGTTATGTAGGCGGACTGGCCTTGAACTTGCCATCCTCCTGCCTTAGCCTCCCTTGCTTATTACTGGTGCGTCCCACCACACCAAGCGGGAGAGAATTCCATGATTAGATATGCTAAAAATGCTTTTAAGTCCTTGAAAATATATTTATATATTTAAAAATTTAGTTACTATTAATAAGAAATTTACTTGCTTATAGTTATAGACATTACCTTAAGGAGCTAGGTAATTCATTTATTATATATTCTAAAAGCAAAATACTTTTTTCCATCTTTTACTTGCATTTATTTTATGTGGAATTTATTCCCATACTATAAGTTTGCTTTTGTTTGTTCTGAGGATATCTTTTTCTTTTGTAAAGCTTTTCTGGTTTAGGATCAATGTGTTCCTTTTCAGTGAGGATCATCTCAGCGTGGCAGGGGAGCTCAGGGGTGGGTTAATCCGAACCCTGAGCTCTGGAAGTACCGAGGTGCATCTTGGGTTCACTTGGATGTGTTCAGTGACCAGAGAGTCCACATCTAAATCCTTCAGTTCTGTGTTACTCTCTGCATGTTTAAGCATATAGCACAAAATTTCAGCACTTGTTTTGGGCCACAGACCTTTTGTTCAGCTCTACTACTTGACCTGCTCATACCTACCAAGTCCAGCATTGTTAATGCCAGAATGAGCCACATCACTTCTTTAAGTGACATCTTTCACATACTTGGTGGCTTTTTGGAAATGCATACCTTTGATGGCCTGGGCAGTTTATCACGTGTTTGTAAACTGAATTGAAAGATTTGAACCTCTTGATTTGCATGATTTTGTGGGGTTTTCTGAGTCATGAGAGAAGTTGAAGCATTTTCACCTCAGGCCACTTGGAAGAAGAGGAAAACAAAATACTTTTTAAAGGGCCAATAGAGATGCATGTGTTTTATGAATAAAAAACAAAAGAGAAAGGGGCAGAGAAAATATTTAAAGATAAAAAGGCTAAGAATTTTCCAAAGTAACAATTCAAGAAATTGATTTAAGAAAGTAAGAGAACTCTAGGCAGAATCAAACAAACACGTGTGTACTCTGTCTTCTAGATTGTTGATAAGTGGGTTCAGGTGTGGGCAGCCTGCATCCCTTATAAAGTGCTCCATACCTTTCCTGTAGGTTTTTTGGCAGCAATTGATCATCGCGTAGGTCCGTTAATTCTTCATAGGTTTTTCTTCCCAGTAGATCATTAGAGATGCCATTCCAGTTTCTACTTGTTAACACTGGCTCTTGGTTTTATTCTAACATTTTTTTCTTGGAATGAAAAACTTTAATTTATGGCTATATAAATTTTATTTTTGGTGTCATTGTATTAAGAATGAATGGGAATTGAGGAGACTTGTTTGAATCTCACAATGGCATGATTAAGCTGTGGGAATAGAGTGACTAAATTGATAATATGTTTCATTAGAAAATAAGGTTTTTTTCAACATCTCTTCATTTGAAAAGTTCTTTTGTTATATATTAAATATTTTGGAAGGATTAAATTAAATTCTGTGAATCAAAGCTTGTTTCATTTAACTGAAAGACATTCGAAGTGATGGTAATGGTAATATTATTTGTAGGGTTTTTTAACTCTGTATTTTAACATTTGGGGATAGCGTTGTGGTAGGTGAGAAAACATTTCCTTAAAATTCAATGTGTCCACTGTAAGTAACTTGGTTTTATGCATGCCTGTTTCCTTTAATGATTCCCACATCAGCCACTTCTGTAACTTGAGTCCTGAGGTTCTAACTGAACTAGTTGGCCCTAATGCCATAATAAGGGTATTTATATTGCTTGGTCTGGCTTTGTTGGCTCCTCAGGTTATCCTACCTTGCGGATAGAGAAGAACGACTTGAAAAGTGTCACTCTTTTGGAGGCCAAATCCAAGGTGAAGGACATAGCAATATCTAGGGAGAGGATAACTTTAAAAGATGTACTTCAAGAAGGTATTTATTATCTCAAAAACAATTTGATTAAAAAGTTTTTTTTCATTTTTCCTTCAAACGTTAATGTGCCTTACACAACTTTAGTGGAGTTCTTGATTCTTAAGTAAAACAATGCATCCATAAGTGTTTGTTATCTTTAAGATACATTTTCTATTTTATTCACACTTAAAATGATCACTACTTGGTAGGTTTTTTGTTTTGTTTTGTTTTTGTTTTAAATACTTTTAAGTAATTTTGTCTCTGATAGATAGTATAGGAGTTCTAGCAGATAGAATAAGGGTTTGGAGTTAGACTCAAGTTCCAGTCCTAGGATTTATTACCTGCATGACCTTAGAGAAACCACTGAATGTCTTAGATCTTCACTTTCCTCTTCTGTAAATTTAGACAGTATTGTAATTTAAGTAGTGGTTGTGGAAACTCCTAGACTGTTATGAAGATTAGATGAAAGATGTTTATTAAATAAATTAACACATAATAATACTTGATATATAACAGCACCCTTTCCTTCCTTCCCTTGCTGGTCCTTGCTTTCTTCTTTGAATTTAGAGTATTGATTAGGAAGATGCTGAAAGATGAGGGCAAAAATTAATAAAAAATACCAAATTGAGCTCTTCATGTTATAAACAGAGAATTACTTTTTTCCCTTACTATAATTCAGTTTGGAATGTCTTGAATACGTGTGAGTCCTGTACTCAGCTGTTGGTTGTATACTTGTAGGTCAGTCACAGCTACATGAACTGCCTTCAGTGGCAAATAATAATTAATGAAGGCAGATTTTTTTCTGACCTGTTTTTCAATGTGTGGATGCTACATTGAAAACCATACCAATGTATGGTTGTCTGTTTTCTAAGCCTAACTACTTATCAGATTTGTCAGTGGTCTTGAGTAAGCTAGCATTCCCTAAAGAGCTAAGAAATGAGAGAGCCATGAATAGGGACTTGTTTTGTTTGCAGTTTTTTTTTTTTCCTTAATTCTTTAAATGGGATAGAATAATCCCATTATTATACCACCCAGTTGTGGTGGTATAATTTGAGGAAGAGAGGAAATTTTGGAACCTGGTGGAGTTTTCACAGCTGTAGTAGTTGATTTCAGAATAGAAAACATGGCTAGCTAACATTGCTATGTTCACTGGAAATCTGATAGGTACAAATCAAACAATAGATACGTGCCTTGTTCATCTGTCACATTGCCAAGAGTTAAAAAGACAGTTAATATCCAGGCTGACAATAGGCACGAGGAAACAAGCTGTCTTATACATCATGGTAGGAATATGAATTCCTGTGAACTTGTGGTAGAGTGATATATGTGTAGATAGACTTTAGTGTCTGGTTCCCATATCCATGAGAGTTTCGTTTTTACGTATATGTAAATCCATGTTTGCGGTGCTGTTGTGGAAGAGAGAGAAGAAGTATAGTGAAGTAAGATAAACTTGAGTGGGGATAAAAAGGAAGACCTTCATAAGGAGTGAACTGACAGGCCAGGGTGTCAAATCTGACAGTATATAGGACTGGAGGGTTTGAAGAGGTTTAGTCAGCTTTAAAAAGACTGTCTTAAAGATTGTCCAAAGCCTTGTTTGCTTCGGGAGTCCAAGTTACTCTGTTTCTCTGTCCAAAGTAAGACTTGATAGGTGGGCACCAACGACTTTAGTGCTTACTGTGAAAGAAATTAAAGCAAGACCCATGGGCGTGCTGTGTCTGCAGCAGAGCAAAACTGTGGGCATTTCTTTGAAGTTGTGAAGGATGGAAAAGTAAAAATGTTCTTGTGAGAAAGAATAACCCAAGATTAATTTTTCAATGATTATCTCATTAGGAATCTTTGTTTTTTCTTCCAGTTCTGGGGATTGAAACCAGGGCCTGTGTATGCTAGGTAAACATTCTTCCACTGAGCTACATCCCCAGCCCTTGGATTTGGTTTTTTTTTTTTTTGGAAACAGGATCTTCTTATGTTAACTAGGCTGGCCTTGAACTCATAATCTTCCTACCTCTACCTCCCCAGTGCTGGGATTATAGATGTACACCATCACACTTGACTCAGATGTGTGTGGATTTTCATCACTCATTTTTAACCACTCCCCAAAGGTTATAACTTCTTTTCTTACTATTAAAGTTTTTAGGAACACCTTTTACCAGTGAATTAAGGGTCTAAGCATCTTGTCTGAGACCTTTTAAGTAATGGGTGGTAGAAGAAACCCAGAACTGTTTTTAATCCAAGATTTGCTCCTTCCCTTCAAGCTGCTTTTTAAAGTTCTGCAGTGGCAGGATGGACAGTCTGTTTTTCTCCTTTCATTGTTCTGAGACTAGTCCTACAAACTCATAAATGCCTGTATTGATAACTCCATTACTTAGCTCCAGTGCTCTTGGCTATGTCATTAGTTTATTTCAGGAAAAAAAACCTCTCATGTACTTGGTTTAGATATGGTGTTTCAAACAGCAAGTTAAGATGTTTCTTAGTTACAAAGAACCTCTAACAGTCATTAAGTACCATTGATTGGGGTCATTTCACTCTAGGGCTAGAATAATGCTGATAGCATTTGCCCTTGTTATGATTAAGTTACATTTTACCAGAAAGTTCTGTTCTGTATATTATGAAGGTTATCATATGATCTCATTAATTATTATTTTTCCTTCTAGGTACTTTTGGTCGTATTTTCCATGGGATTTTAGTAGATGAAAAAGATCCAAATAAAGAAAAACAAACATTTGTAAAAACAGTTAAAGGTAGGTATTTCTTCCCATACTATTTCCATAATGCTTTCTTGAAGATGGCAAATTACGTCTCAGTTTCTTAGTGTGTGCTGGACCTTCTAAATTAGCCCATGTTAGTTTAGCTCACATGAGGTTAATTTTGGACAATTTTTTTTTTTTTTTGGTGGTATGGGATTTGAACTCAGTGCCTCATGATTGCTGGGCAGGCACTTTACCTCTTGAGCCACTCCACCAGCCCTGTCACTGTAGGTTTGGGACTGTGACCACATGAGGTTAATTTTAGAGGAGAATTGGGTGGTTCTCATTAGGTTTAGAAAATAGAAAGTTAATAAATGAAGATATTAAACATTTATTAGGTATTCTAACTTCTAGTTAAAGTGTATCTTTGACTTCATTATTTCTATGTCTAAATTTCTTATGTTAAAACTATGGTACCATAATTTATCTCCCTTAGAAAACATTGTCATGGGTTTTTCCTATAAAAAAGAAAATTAAAATAATCCCAGATGTACAGTACCTTATAGGGATATGCACTGTTGTCCTTTCACTCCCTTTCCCCTTTTTTTTCTCTAGTGTACTATATAATTCTCTAGGAAATTCCTGTCCCAAGGGATGTATACATTTAAAATTTTGATAGATATTGTCAGATTGTTCTCTAAAAGGTTTAACACCTGTTTATGGTTTTATGAACAGAACACTTGTTTTCACATATTCATCTTTTGGACTATTTTTTGGAATGTGATGCCTAATATTTTGTTTATTAATTTATATAAACTACTCAGAAATTTCCAATCAGAATCCTACAATGTTATTTGTATATGTCTTATTCTGTAATACTGGTATAAATTAGTAAGACTTTTAGAAGTAGGATTTTACTTACTTACAATTGATATTTGCAAAAGCTTAAATAAACTTTTCTTATTTATGTCTTCATTTTTGTGGTACTGGGGATCAAGCTCAAGAGACTCATGCATGTCAGGCAAGCACTTACCACTGAGCTACATCTCCAGTTAGTTATTTATATAATAACATAATATAATAACAGTTAGTTCTGTTATTTGCTCATTTTGACAGTAAGAAAAGTATAATATAGTGCTCTTAATGTCTGTCAGTTTCTGATATATGTTGAGATGACAAGGTAATTTTTGAAAAACAAAGCACTTTGAATGCAGAGATTGAGGGGAAAGTTAAATTTAGTTTTATGAGTAGACTGTGACAGAATTTATGAGATTTGCAAAGTTAATTTATAAGAACTGTGCTTCTAAATTTACTTAAAGGAATACATGGAAAGTATGAAGGGGTTATGTTTATTGTTTCTAAAGAGTTGGGTTGTATCAGTCTAACAAAAAAAATTGTTGGAATTGCCTGTAATTTAGCAAAATTGCTTGCTTAAGGTTGTTAAAAATACACACAACCATGCACATGCCCCTCTTGCCTTTTCTAAACAAGTTGTTTAACTCACTGTGTCCTTACTATTTGTTTTATTCACCCATTCTTTCCCAGCTCCCAAAACACTTTCAGAGGTTAATATTTTAAGGTAAATCCCAGTAGACATTCTGACTAGTTTTGAAGGGTAGTTTACGTATTACTCTTTGTAAATGTAAAATTTTTACCAGTTTAATACAATTGCCTTTTGTTTTTCTTTCTTTTTTTTTTTTAAAGGAAATAGTTCCTCTTAATTCTAATCTTTCTTGTAAGATTTGTTAATATCTATGGATTGCAATGAATCTTGAATTAACCAGATTTCCATAGAGAGTTGGGTTGATTTAGGGGGAGCAAAGGAATTAATAGTGATAAGAAAACACAATATGGATACTGAGTCTCTTTCACAGAATATAAGTTTCTCTTTCCATGCCACTTGCTTGTTGCTCTGCCTTACCATGCAATTATAGTGTTCTCTCTGAGCTGGAAGGAAATAAAAGCACAGTGAGTTCTTCTTAGCCAGCCTGTAGTCACAGTTTGTATGGAGGTCAGAGAGGAAGTGCACCAGGGCACTTGGCTCAAAATTGTTAGAGAGGTAACTCCACATGATTATCTCCTGAGATTTATTCTTTTGGAAGGTTGCTTTTATTTTTAAATTAAAACTACTTATTGCTGACAAAGTGCTTTCACAAATCTGTATGCTTTGTTACATGTTACACAATTAGACGTTTTGTGTAAAATACAAAAAAGGTTATATCTTTTATGCAGAAAATTGGAGTTTAGCTGTTTAAAAAAATTGTAATTTTGTGCTGAATTAATGGATATCCAATATAAATTTGCAGAGATTGAAATTAGAAACTTGAGTCTTCTGTGTATTATGAAATTCTATAACATAAATGTACCAGTTTAGGGTTATTGGTATTAAGTTCTTATTTTCTTTAATGGTTATAAAATTTTTGCAATTTTGGAAATAAAGCAAGTTTTAAAAATCATTTTGTGCTTACATGTAATTTTTAGATTGTAAATTATTTTATGGTACCCTTTTCAGATGTGTATATCTTGAAGATTTCTCTGGGTGAAATTTTTCTTAGATCATCATGTAGCTCAAGTGTCCCTTCCTTATAATAGAACATACTTATCAAAGTACATGTAAAATGATCCATCCTGAAATTAACCTTCTGCTGTTGTTGGGTCTCCTTACCAGTTGAAGTGGAGGTAAACTCTAACTGGGTGGGACTCTCCAACTGTTACTGGTTTTCAGTCTTCCAAAGATCTTTCCAGCCCTTGATAATTCTAGCTATCATTTCATTAGAAATTATTTAGATTATATTGAGAGCAGTAAAGGCACATTTTGCCATTTACTACAGGATCCCAGTTTTTAGAGTACAGTTTATTCTAGCAGACACTGATGGGAATACTCCTTTCCCTAAAAAGTGCTAGCTAGTTTAAGTCCTTGGCTTTCTGCTCACCCATCGTACATACTTATAGAAGTCTTTAAAAGAATTGTGGAGATAAGCAAACTAATAATAGGAGAGGGACTGAAGTAAGGAAAGAGATTCCAATAGACTTTGGAACCAGATATTTGAGATTTCTCAGCTTGGACAGCTACATTTTTTGTTTTTTTGAGACAGAGTCTTGCTGTGTTGCTCAGGGTGGCCTTGAACTCACAATTCTCCTGCCTCAGCCTCCTAAGTGCTGGAAATACAGGCATGTGCTACCATGCCTGGCATGACAGATCCACTTTTAAGGAGTGAATATAGCAATTGTAGAGCCTGAGCTCAAAGGACTGAGTTTTGTTTTTGTTTTTTTTTTTTTTTGCTTAATTTGCCAGATAATCTTTTTAATGAGAATTACAAAAGACCAAAACATTTTTTGCAAACTGCCTTTTTAAACAAATGATTTGCTTTAAATTACGAATACTGGGTATGATGATGCCTTCTTCTGCAAAACCAATAAATACAAGAACAAATTTTAAACATGTGATTTGTCCAAGATATTTTGGAAAAGGAAAAAAAAAAGCCTGATTTTTTTTTCAGTTATTTATATAAATGAGAATGTATTCCCTAACCTTTCAGAGAGTAAGCCTGAAAGCATGACTGGATGAGAAGGAGTGAGATGGTGAGAGGGAGACACACTGAGAAGACCATCTTACAGCTGCAAATATTCAAATAGCTTGATAATTGTTCTGATGTTACCATTCCTTTCTGGAACCGTATCTTCACAAAATAGCTGAATTTAAAATATTTCTAATGAACTGGTTAATGAGGGAAAAGAAAATACGTACTGAACACAAACTTTGATATAAACAGTTATGCATATCAAAAGACTAACTTTAAAAAGGTACAAAAAAAGTGAGATAAAACCTGAATTACAGAAAAGGCAAATTTATTTAATGAAAAACTAGAATAAAAATTAGCAAACACACACACCCACACCCCTCAAAAAAAAAAGAAAAATCCCAGCAGCACTAGGTATTGACTCACACAGGGGAAAGCAGTGGTCAGAAACCACTCAGATGGCTTGTCAGTTAAAGGAAAAACCGCACACACACACACACACATACACACGCACACACATACACACGCGCAGTCAATCTACAACAAACACAGAATTTAGAATTATTTTACAATGCTTCCTTTCTTAATACAAAAGATGCCCATCTTGGGGGAATATATATATTTTTCTCAGTGGTTTACTGTTGACTTATTTTTAAATATATTAGTGTTCCTACATGCAACTGTTTCCTGTATTTAACAGCCTTTCTTTTTATTTACCTTCGTGTGTCTAGCTTCTACCTACCAAGAGTTTCAGGTGGCAGGCAGATTGGTGTCTTATTCTCTGTTAAATTGAATGCAACAGTTTTAAATACTGGCCAGAAAATGTTTGATTGCCATTTCAACACATGGAAATAGTTACACTGATGCCTAAATTGCCATTTTCTGCAAAAAGCTGTGCAATGCTGGTGTCAAAGACTAGGCAGTCACTATTCATAATGGCTGTGCAATTCCCTCATGAATAGATCGAGGAGTCGCTTCCCAAGTCAATCGCCACCTATGACCACTTAGCTCAAGTTGATAAGCAAAATTTTCAGCTTGCTTGCGTGTTCCTATCAGCTGTATGATTGGGAAGAACTGCTGATGACCATCATATTTTTCCTGTTTCTCCAAAACTAACATGAAGTGAAAGCCAAAACAGGACTGCATCATCACCCAGTCAACAGCACCAGGAAGATTATGTCTGTAGCAAGGAAAACTATATCCTCTCCCTGTAGGGTTGTAATGGACTTGTGCTGATGCATCAGATGGGGCTTACAGCATCCAAAGAGCCTTGCCATTTACAGGAAGCACCAGGGCATGGACAGGAGTTCATGGTGTGCTTTCTCTGTGTGTGGAGGAGTTATTTCACACGCAGAAGGAAGAGTACTGGATTGGCCACTTTCTCCATAGCCAAGTTGCGAATGGATCCCAACAGGCCGCAACAAGTTGGACAACATGTGAGTTTTGGGCGACAGTTGCTACAAACGAGATGGCCACTCTTGACACTGGAGAATGGGTGGTAACACATAGTCAAAGCAGACAGGACACTCAAGACTCGCCAAGTCACTGTTGGATGCAGTTGTGCCAGTCAAGGCAGGTACCCTTTGGGATGGTGGACACTTGGAGGTACCAGTAGGTAATGCTGTAGCAGTCTGACGGCTCATTTCTCCGCCATGTTGGCCGAACACCGGGTTTCCACAACAAAGGCCGGCACGAGGGCGCGGGGCGCGCCGGGCGCCTCCCCCGACCAGGCCCGCCTCTGAGCCGTCCCCACCCGCGGCCCGCGTGGCCGCAGACCCTGCCACGGGGACGGGGCCGGGCCGGGCCCCGGGAGCCTGTCATTTTCCTTGATGAGGCTGGAATGTGTGGATCTTGACTTTGGCAGTCTTGAATCTTTATCTGCTTATTATTATATTGATCAGGAGCTTTAGAACTTACTAGTATTTCTTCTGTTGGCATAAAAATTAGCTACTGGTTTCTTTGAAGGTGTTTTTAAGAATAACTTACACTCATTCGTTTTTGATCAAAACTTTTTAAAAATTTCAAACTCGATTTCAGTTTTATTATGGAAATACACTATGTATTTAATAGAAGTGTTCTTTTTCAAACAGTGAACAAATTCTATGCTATTAAGGTAGTGGTTCTTAAAAGGAGAGGAATCTTTTTTTGCAGTGCTGGGGTTCAAACTCAGAGCCTACACATTGAACCACTCCACCGCCCTTTTTTGTGAAGGGTTTTTCGAGATAGGGTCTCACAAACTACTTGCCAGGGCTGACTTTGATCTCTGCCTCCTGAGTAGCTAGCATTACAGGTCTGAGCCACCAGTGCCTGACTAAGGAGAGGAATCTTGTGCACTTATGCAAATACTTAATGGCTTAAAAATTCTTCTGGAGAATATTACCAATATTAAAGATACTGGAAAATTGCATTTGCATATTTTTGTTTCAAAAACATTGACCTAAAAGTCAGTTTTAATTTTGTTTTACTTCTGTGGACCAAAGCCTGTGAGTTTAGAAGCTAAAAATAAAAGGGAATAATCATATCCTAAGTTTGGCTATTAGATTAATTTTCTTCTAACTTAATAGTAGTTTTGTTTGTTTATTTTAATCACAGGTAAGAAGAAAACAACAAAAGGCACCATAGTCTCTAATCAGAATTTCCATGATTTTTTTTATAATTATATGTTTGTAAGGTTAGAAAGTATAAAGAACAGGAAGGTACAAGATTAAATTCTCTCATCTTGAAAAGTAACCACCATAAACAATTTATGTTCTCTGCATGAGTTAAGGGGGGAGAAGGTTTCCAAATATATCTGACTTTCAAGTAATTTTGTTTTCAAGCCATAGCTGATCACACAAACAGAGTTCTGTACCTTGCTTCTAAAATTTAATATATATCTAAAGTTCTTTCTCTGTCAGTACATACAAGCCTGTACTGGCATACCAGTGTGCCAGGGTAGTTCTTTGTTGATGGATGCTTCAGTTGTTAGCAGTTTACAGTGGGACTGATGATGCAGAGTGTAGATGCATTTTGATGTTGTTACATTGCATCCTCCACCTATTCAAGATGCTATAGATGAGACTGATAGTATACACTTGTGCCCAGACTGGCACAAGTTCAATCTGAGGGGGAAAATGGCATCTCCTAGTTTAATTTGGATGTCTTTATTTAGAAATGAGTCTGAAAATCATTTTAAAATTTTGTTGATGACTTGTTTCTTCCTTTGTTGGTAAGCTGTATGTTTATACCCTCTTCCTGTTTCATTTTTTCATGTACTGATGTCTGTGACTCTTTAAAGAAGGAGATGCAAGGACATTAGACGTCTTTATGTCTTTAGTGTTGCAGATATTTTTCTAGTCTGTTACTGCTTTTTCTACTTTGTGAAACCTTACTGAATTGCTAATTTTTATATAAAAGTTACTTTGAAGGTTGATATGTTCAGTAAGACTCAATCTGCTGCAATGGAACTTTAGGCTAGCTCTGTTTCAATTTACTTGTAACTTTTAATGAAAGTTTACAGCCCAAGGTAATACTTACCAATAGCAGGAATTATTAATGTCATATATATATATAGTATTATCACTCCAGGCAATTTCTTTTCTTTTCACAGATCAGGCTTCTGAAATTCAGGTGACCATGATGCTCACAGAAAGTTGTAAACTTCGAGGTCTTCATCACAGGTAAGAGCAGAAGCTGCGAGCATGTCAGTGTTCAGCATAGCAACACTCTGTGCTGAGTTTTTATTTGAAGAACATGGTCATGAGTTCTGAACGGAAAACTTTGAAATGGCTTTTTTTTTCTTCTCTGAATATAAAGGTAAAACGCATGCTCATTGCACAGTTTATAAACAATAAAGTACAAAGAAGAAAATAGACAATAGTATGTAAACCCACACCTGGATAATCATAGCTGTGTTTTCCAGAAATACTCATATTTGTGGCATATTTCCCTTTTAATATATACATACATTAAAATATTTCCTATAAAATTTTTGACATATTGAACATCAAAGACAAAAATAGGAAACACTAATTAACTCACCTCCTAGATGCAGTGATAGTTAAGATTTTGCCATATTTGTTTTGTTGTGTGCGTGCATATGTATAAGTTTATCTGTATCTGTACATATCTAGATACAGATATCTAGATCTTTGTGGAGATATTTTATAGTAAGTTACACATCTCAACACTTTTAATGTTGTCCAGTGTGCTTTTTTTTTTTTTAAAGGATATTTTCCTGGTGAAATGGCTCAAGTAGTAATAGGCCTGCCTCGCAAGCATGAAACCCTGAGTTTGAATCCCTGTACTGCAAAAAAAAAGTCACAATATCATTATTATCTTTAATATAAAGTTAACAACTTCTTAAAACAGTGTTTCCAGATTTTCATGTCAGTAGCTATAAGTCCCTATCCATGTTTTTAAAAACTACATAATGGTTTGTTGAATGGCTGTACCACATTTTATTTAATCTCTTATATATGATCATTTGGTCATAATATGATTTAAAAAAATACTTAGCTCTATAAGAAGAACTTTTTTATTTTAAGCTTCTTAAAATACTGAAACGTCTGTCTTCTGAAGCAGGAGAGACTTACTTATAGTGTGAACATGTGCCTCAGTATCAGTGTCATTGCAGAGATTTTAAAACACTGTATCGCCCACTTTCTTTGTATGCTTTCTGAATATTTGACCACATGTTTGAAAAAATGGTACTATGACCTTCCCTGTAGGAAGATGTTTATGAACTTCTAGAGAAAAAGATAACAGAGTGATACATGTAAGAGGTATCATACATTTTAATTTCTGTGTTCTTTGAGCAGTTTCTTGAGCTCTGCTAAAATGTATGGTGAATACACGGAACTTTATTTTTTATTGTTTTTTAGGGGGGACGGCGGGGAGGTTTCTGGTGTTTGAACTCAGTGCTTCACGCTTGCTAGGCTTGTGCTCTGCCACTTGAGCCACATCTAACTCCAGAACTTTATTTTTTTATTTGTTTTTACTTTGTTCCAAAAGAGCCTAAAAAGGTGACACCTACAATAAGATGGTAATGAAAATGGAACTATTTTTATTTTTAGGCATTGTGGTGGTAGAAAAGGAACAAACTATTGTAAGGTGAAAACTGTTTTTGCTGTGATTGAACATAAGGCAATTATAACTTAGCTTCTGGTCAGTCAAAGGTGAAGGAAACATTAAAAGTTGATAAATCCTAGTAGCAGGAGAAAAAGAAACAAAATCGTGTAGGTTGAAAAAAAAATTCCTTTAGTTTCAGATTCCAAGGCTGATGTCTCATTAGGTTGATCATATACTCCAGACATTAATTAATATAAGGAATAGATAGATATTTGTGTTATTTTCATTGAAAAATAAAAGCCATGTTCCTTTGAAGGGTTAAAATTACATGGTTTAAGAATGCTATCTTCCATTAGCTTGAATCAGTCTAAGAATAAAAGTCACTATTTGTAGAGGAATGGATGGACAAATTATCACTTAGGCTGTATTTTCTAACAAACACATTTTGTCTCCTGTAGGCTTTTGACAAGAACTGGGAAATGATCAGTCTGAAGTGTCCTTTTTGGCAGTTGGGAGTGTGTGATGTTCTGTTATGCTGACTAGGGGAGGTGCCAGAAGTGTTTCATACTAGTATATCATACTAACTCGGCACTTGCATACCTAGCCAATATTCTTACTCTGATGAAAGGTCTGCATCCCTTCAGCACACAAGTGTGTGGCAGGGATACATGGGACAAAGCCAGGATTTTCCCAAGAAGCAGTTTTATATCCACTGTAGCTCTAAACATGCCTTGGCTGAAAAATGTTCAGAGTGAGCATTGCAACATTCTCTCATAATGATTTAGGCTGTCCAGCTTTCCAGCAGTCCCAGGATATCCCCCAGGGTACAGAGTGGAGTGACATACTGAATTGGAAGTACTCGATACTAGACATTTCGAAGAGTGAGGAAAGACGTTTGTAGACCTTTGTAGAGGTTGTAGTGTGATCACGGTTAATTGCTCATCTTGACTCTGCCTCTTTGCAGTTATACTGCAAAGGCACATTATCAATATGTAGAAAGTAGTATGCTTTGCATTCACTATAGCAGTTCATCTCATTTCATCTAATTTTTAAGGGAACTAGGACCTAGCACACTTGATGCAATTGATTATATATGGCTGCGTGTGTATATTTGTTCATTCTTTAATTCTGATTCATTCAGTGTCCATTTTGCATGCAGAACTTTGCAAGGCACAAGGAATAAAAATGAAATGATAATCTTCAGAGCGTATTATAGAATTTACCAAGCAAATTCAGTATATTTAGCGAGAAATGTCACCTTGTTTCATATTTTACCCTTCTAATTGGTTGTAGTATATAATTCAGAATGTTTGCTTCCTGTTTTAACAGTCTGTGATTAAGGGTTGTACATTTCTTAAAATATCTTAAAGCATTTTAAAATTCTGTCTTTTTTACTCCTTTTTTCCATTGGAATTTGTGAGAGTAATTGTTATCAGAAGTTAAAATACCTATATAAATAAAAAATAACAATTTGTTTTAATTACCTCAAAAGTGCCTCACATCAAAGTACTCTTGAGCTATTTCTTCTTGTGGTTTAACCCCCCTTTTGGCCAAGGATGTCAGTTGGTGGGCTGTATTTTCTAACAAGTGTCCTTTGTTACGCTGAGTGCCTCCCAGCCTTACTTTATAAGTGGGTGCTCTAAGACTAAGACGTGGAGGCAATTCTAGGTCAAGCCTTGCATACCCTTCCTGTACCTTCTCTCCATACCTTCTCCTGTGCTCACCCATTCTTAGAGATCTCAATCAGACCTTCCCCCTTATCCTCCTTTCCTCTGTAAAATGGGCAGAGTGAAGAGTAGCCATTTGTACTTTGAAACAGTTACGTGAACTTTGTTACCTCTCCCAGAGGGTTTTAAATCTTCAGGTTGTACAATAAGATTTTTAAGATTTGACCTCATTCAGCACAGTTATTGTGCCTGGATAAAATGCCATTAATTCTGTTCAATAAATTTCATTCACAGAGGAGCAGAGGAATAATTTTTTTGGTTAAAGAGATGGGACAACTCATTGTGTTCACCCTGAAATCATGGTATATTCAGGTTAATCCTGAGTATAAACCTTTAGTCATTTTAGGTGCATGTGAATTGGTAGAAAGGAGACTCTGTAATCATTCCCCTTTTTTCCCTTGGGAGGAAACATCCAGTGGTCCGGGGAAAGCCTAAGGATTTTGGAATCAGATGAAGACCTGATTTTTTTTTTTTTCTCTCCATGTACTTGACCTTTGTTCTTCAGATTACCTAACCTTTCTCCTTTGGCATGAGTTTCTTTGCTAATGAAGTGATCATAATGGCTGCCACTCTTCAGCCATAATGTAAGCAGAAGCCCTAAGAGAGCTTACCTCTTCCAGGTCTATACCTGTTCTAGGTCCATACTCTTGTACATATACATCTCTTTTGGCTCTATAGTTTTTGTAAGTCCACTGATCTCCAAGTCCTCATGTTCCAGTTCCTCAGGCTTTTCCTGTTAGTCCAAACACAAGCAGAACCTACAGCTTTGCCACTTGTACAGTAGTGGTCACACCAGAATGTTATGACTGTAAAGTGATGTATTCTCAGTTGAGATAATTTTTAGGAAATAAAGGCAAGGTAGAAATTATCTTTCGTCCCCATGTCAAAGACAACTCTTAACTGTTGGTATAGTTCTGCAGTTTTTTTTTTTTTCTTCTCCATACTTGTAACTCTTCCGCAGACATGCATTTTCTATATTGTTTTTCTTTAAGCTTTTACTCATATGCTCACATCCTTGGGACCATTTAATTGTTACATATTACTCTATTGTTCCTTCATTATGCTCAGGTATTCATATTATTTTCACTATTAATACTCCATTAACTGTCCTTGTTCTTAAAGCTATTTATGATTGATATTATTTCCTTTATAAACATTCTTAGAAGCAGAATTTACTCAGTAGGAATGTCTTAAGGCTATTGTTATGTCTGTGCCTTTCAAATATTTATTACATTTTTTTAGTGGCACAGAATATGAAGTATTGAATGTAAAAATTAAAAGTATATGATAGTTTTTTGCCTTCTAGGAAATTTCAGCTTAAAATGAGATAATTATGTAAAATGTTGCATACCTTGGGAGAAGTTAGTTATTTCCAGACATCAGTGGAAGGAATGTCCTTATGCAGTAGGTTGGAATATATGTGTGCACACCTTAAAAATTAAAATGGGAACAAGATAGTCTTCACATACGTGGCTTTATTTTACACATGATAGCACCTCTTATGGTTGATGGGATCCCCATGTTGTAAATATGAAAACTAAGGCCAAAAGAGAGAGAGAGCGATAGTCACCCAGATAGTAAATGGTGAATCTAATTTTCAAATGTCTAATTCTAGGGCTGAGGACATGGCTCAAGTGGTAGAGTCCCTGCCTAGCAAGTGCAAGGCCCTGAGTTCAAACCACAGTAACCCCTTCCCGCTCCCCCCAAAAAATGTCTAATTCTAAATCCCATGTGACTAGCTAAGAGCTTAGCTTTTGTGGCACTTTCAGCCTCTTGAAGACCTTTTTGATTATCATATTCTTTTCCACAGTTTGGATTGGGCCATTTTTTAAAAAGTATGATTATAGAATAAGTGGGGTAGTATGATAATACACTCATGGCCAAGCCATTTTTTAGGTGTCTGAGTACCAGTTGAAGTAATGATTTAGTGTGATTTCAGTGTGTCTTCAGAGATTCCAATATATAGGAAATAACTCTGAATTTACAACTTTTCTCTATCAAGAAAGCACATACTTTGGGACCATTTTAAATCTTGTTTAAAAAATTGAGCATTTATAATTTGAAAATTTTAATTATAATCATGTTATTAAGTATGTTTTGGGATTTTGTTTTGTTTTAAATTTATTACTTTTTATTTAAAATAAGCCCCTAGGCTTTTAGATTTCATTTGTTTTTCTCCCAATTTCTTATTATTTCTGTAGAAATCTTCTTCCTATTACTCATGTGTGTATAGAAGAAGGAGAAAAGCCCATGGTGATGTTGCCTTACATGAATTGGGGGAATCTTAAGTTGTTTTTACGGCAGTGCAAATTAGTAGAGGCCAATAATCCACAGGTGAGAAAAATTTGCCCAAATACCAATTATTTGCTAGTAGTTTCCAATAATATCTTTGAAAGTGGATGTTGTCTTACATATAAACTGTTTAAAGTCCTGCAAAAAGAAACTTAGAATGAAACTGTTGATTGAGAGGCAAATGACGATGGTTTATGATTCTTATCTTGAGGCTTCACTTGACTGATGCTCATGTTTTCCCTTGTATTTTCATTATGTGTTTAGTCATAATCACCTCAAAGTCTCTAACACCATCTCAGTCATTTTCGTGCTAATTCTTTGAAGGCGTTTGTCCTAGATCTCCTTATAGGAAGGGAAACAGACTTTATAGAGCCATTTGGTCCATATTATATGAAAAGCTAGTGCTAACTGGCGATAGATTATGGGAGACAATTGGGTAATCTTAAAATGCTTGGCTGTTGAGATGGCAGTCAGTTAAGAGTTTCTTTCTTGTCACTGCTTGTACACTTAGCTGTGAATGTTTGGTCAGATGCCAAACATGTTATGATGGCAGTGGTAGTAAAGCCTTCTGGGCGTATTGCTCTCCCCTGTATTTTGTACCTCATTAACTTAGTTTTAAGATTTATAGTGATGTAGTTATTACAGTTGCTATGAGAAATGGGTTCAAATCTGCATTGAGTATTTGGCTTAGTATGCTTTGCAAATTGACTCCTTGTGGTTCCTAACAAGTGGTTGGAGGCTGTGGCCCATCAGTATCACCTGGGAAAGAATTTCACTCCTCAGCCTGAAATACTGGCATGTGTCTGGGGAGCATATCAGTAGGCTTGTATTAATTTGAAAGTGGTTTGAGGGGATAAACTAATAAAAACTGCTATTTTAAATGAAAAGCATAATAAACCTTTGAAATACTATCTTGAAATCAGCAGTCATTGAAAAAGGTATTTACTGAGCAGTTACTACGTGTGCTGGATTGCAGGGAGATAAATCTGCCTATATAATCTATATAAAGATAAGAGGAGACAGTCTAGTAAATAAATGGTAGATCATATTACAGAACAAGGATCTAGTTGATATAAGCATGGTACAGGAAGCTATGGGAACATATTCTTGGTTAAGAAATAGTTTTAACTCAATGTATAAATGTAAAGAAGTATTTTGGGGTGAAATAAGCTTGTGGAATAAAATTAGCAGCCACCAATCATAAGTTTTGTGCTCTCTGCAAACCTTGTTACTTTTCTATTACCACAGGCAATTTCTCAACAAGACCTGGTACACATGGCTATTCAGATTGCCTGTGGAATGAGCTACCTGGCAAGAAGGGAAGTCATTCACAAAGACCTGGCTGCTAGGAATTGTGTGTAGGTGCCATGAGCTTATCATTGTCACTTGATGGGTTAGGGCTTCCTGGATTTGGGGCTCTCTCCAGAAGTCACAATGGGACTTGTGTTGTCTTTATGGGTAATAGTGATCCATATTTCATAATACCCTAATTGCCTTTTTTGTTCATGTCTTTACTTTTCAGCATTGATGACACTCTTCAAGTTAAGATTACAGACAATGCTCTCTCCAGAGACTTGTTCCCCATGGACTATCATTGTTTGGGGGACAATGAAAACAGGCCAGTTCGATGGATGGCTCTCGAAAGTCTGGTTAATAATGAGTTCTCTAGTGCTAGTGATGTGGTAAGTGCTGGAACCCCTGGATATCAACAGATAGGAGAAAAAACTTTCTGTTTCAAAATGTTTTACAATTTTTGTCCTTTTTTATTTATTTTTTTAAAATCGAGTAACTGTTGCCTGAAATTTTTCATTCAAGAAGCAAGCATAATTAGTTCTAGTGATCAGTTTTTGGAGAGAAGCTGTGTCCCTAATCATGTGTATAATCTCATTTCATCATCACATGTTATGGGGGGTGGGGAGCACTAGTAATACTCTAAGGTAAGCACTGTTTACCCAGTTTAAAGGTGAGGCTATTGAGACTTAGAGTAATGGATTATTTCTCTTTTCTTATACAAGTCTCAGGGTGACCAACTGAAGGCCATGTCATACACATGCATTGTTTTCCTTTTTCAAATGGCCTCTTCCAAGTGTCACAGCCTATGTAATGTATAATTCTCCACCACATCACACTGTATTCCTTTTGTTAGTTTCTGGGTAATTCTGCTCACTCAGATATATAGCTGGGTCCTTTATACTTAGTGATGTACAATTTCAGAACTCACACCTACTTGTATTTTGTAGCTGTTTTTCACTTCTGTCACTCGACTTTTTAGTCTAAATTAGATTATGCTTAATGGGCTGGCCATGGAGGCACATCCCTATAATCCCAGCTACTCAAAAGGCAGAGGCAGGAGGATCTTGAGTTTGAGGCCAGTCTGGGACAAAGTTAGCAAGATCGCATCTCAGAAATAAGATAAAAACAAAAAAGGCTGGAGGTGTAGCTCAAGTGGTAGACCCACTTGCCTAGGAAGCACAAGGCTCTGAAGTCAATTCCTCGTACCACAAAAAAAAAAAAAAAAGAGATTATGCTTAATGTATTTTATTTTCCTATCTCTCTTGCCTGCTATACTTTATTATTGTAGCAATTCATTAGTTAACATTAGTTAGTGTACACTCTTTCCTCAGTGTATTAGTTTTCCCTGGTTGCTATAACAATTTATTATGACCTTAGTGGATTAAAATAACAGATTTATTCTCTTACAATTCAGTTCTGGAAGTCAAGTGTCTGAAATGAAGGTATAGCAGAGCCTTGCTCCCTCTAAAGGCTCTTGGGAAGAAACTGTCATTGCCTATGCTAGCTTCTGATGCTCTTTACATTCATCCTTTGGCTTATAGTTAAATCTCGTTTTGTTCCACATTTGTTTTACTTTCTCTTTAATGTGTCTTTCAGAACTTCTTCTCCTTCTCTTTCAAGGATACAGTGGTTGAAATTAGAGATAAGGGCAAAATAGTTTCTGCTGGGTATTGAGGGGGTGGGGGGGAGAGGGAGGGGGCAGAGTGGGTGGTAAGGGAGGGGGTGGGGGCATGGGGGGAGAAATGACCCAAGCCTTGTATGCACATATGAATAATAAAACAATAAAAAAAAAAAGGATACAGTGGTTGCACTGACCTACATAATCCAGTATAAGCTTCTCCTTTCATGTTCCTTAGTCACATAGTTTGCTATGTAAGGAATATTGACAAGTGTCAGTGGTTAGCACATGGATCTTTGGGGCTACTATTTGACTCCTATACTTACTGATTAAAGTGATCTAAGATTTCCTTGTTGAAAAACTAACCAACTCTAATGTTCAAATGAGAATAAGGGGGGAACCTTCTCATCAATTATAATCTAATAGTTTTATTTTTCATAAATGGCATGCTATTGATAATGTTGCTTCTTTCACATGAGTATCTTGATAAAATAGCTTCACTTGATGTGAATTAACAAGTGTTTCTGAACTTTTTTCTGTTAATTAATAGGTTTTCATTGTATATATCTTCAAAATCCTTTTCTACTTAATGTAAAATTAACTGTTCTCTTGGGGCTGGTAGAGTGGCTGAAGTGGTAGAGTGCCTGAGTTCAATGCCTCGTACTACCAAAAAAAATTAACTAATTATCTTTTTTAAAAAGTGCCTGGCATTTAAAATGGACAAAGTAAGTAGGAAGGATTTTGAGAAGGATGTTACCTGCTTGATGGAGAAGCTGCAGAGGTTAACATTGGGTGGAGACCTACTTCTTGTTGCCCGCAGCCTCTTCCAGCAGGGCAAAGTACAGAATCCAAGCCCTGAGGATTCAGCTTAGGTAACATAGAAAACTAAGCCTCATCTGTTTTCCTCCAGCTTTGATGGTAAAATGAAATTTCTTTTTCTAACAGTAATGTTTAGAAGTTAAAATTCCAACTAGAGCAATAAAAATATGCAAAGCAACTTACTTTAATGATTTTCTCTCTTTTTTTAAGAGAGGGGTTGCATTTTTGGTTTTGATTTTGATTTTTTCCCAAGTGAAATACAAAGGGAAAGCAGAGTTTGATTTTAGGCCAAGCTATAGCCTGCTGTATTGAATGACAGTAAGGACCAGTTGTACTCTTTGATAAGGTGCTTGGTTTTAGAGTTGCCCAGTCTTTACTCAAAATTCTGAATTGCAGTTGGAATTGTTTTCTAGTTTCTGCATTAGGCAAAGCTGTTTTTATGGGGAGGAAGTGGGTTTACTTGGACTTTAGAACATAGTTTAAAAATACAGTATTGAAGTAGAGCTATGCATTTTTCAAAATCACCCTTTAGTAAAAAAGCTTGGATCTAAACATTTTTAATGCAGTGTTTACTTTAAAAGCAAAACCCATTCCATGACTGATTTAAAATATGAATTTGCTCGTCATAGAATGTTAATGATTTTTCCCATGATTGACTTCAAACATTGTGGTTTCAGTATTCATTGAAGTACAGCCCTAGCTGAGGTGAGATAGCAGTTTTTGATGGGCAAGAAAAAGAAAACATTTCTTGGATGACAATCTATACGTATTTCATGTAATTTTAAGGTATAATTTCAAGAGAGTGGATTTTTTTCATTATTCTTAGAAAAAGGAGTTTGATAGCATTCAGAAAGATATGAAAGGTGTTGCTTGTGACCCTAGAATATACATCACTTACTTAAAATATCTGCTCATTTCTGTGTGAGTATTCATTCCATTATATAATTACGCAGTAGTAGGGTTTTTGGTTTTGGTTTTTTTGGGGTCACTGGGGTTTGAGCTCAAGTAGTACAGTTTTTAAATAACACTTAGGATCATGTATTTTCCAGGAGCTTCAGAGTAAAAATTAAATTAGATGATATGTTGTCAATAAATGAGACCATAGTTACTTAACACATGACTAAGCAGTGTGAATGATATCTCTTCACCTGGATATACTATTCTTTGTTTGCTAATAACATCCAGATTTAGTTAAAGCAGAGCATTTTTAAAAACTTACTTAGAATTAATTCATGATTATGATGTTTTCTAAAATTTGCAATTCACATATTTTATGTAAGAATCAGAATCTGCCATCATCAGAATGTAGTTAACGAATATTTTGTTGCTACTTCTTTATTTAATAGCAGCTTTATTTTTTTTTTTTAAATCATGAATTGGTGAGTAACTTAACATAATTCTTTCTTTCTGCCTTTCTCTCTCTCTCTGACTTGAACTCAGATCCTCACATATGCTAGGCAGGTACCCTGTCACTTGAACCACACCCCCATCCCTTTACGTAGTTCTTTAAACTCAGAATTAATTTTGGCATTTCTTGATTGAACTTACATAAGATATCGCTGTTAACCTCCTTGGGCCAGGGGTTTGGGTTTTGTTTTGTTTTTTCTTTTTTTTTTAGACAGCCTTACTCTATAGCCCAGGTTGATGTTGAACTTGCCATCCTTCTGCCTCAGCCTCCTGAATGCCACCATGCTGGCTTAAGTGTTCTTTTTTTATTTTTGCTTTCAAAATTCTTTGAGCTTTATTTATCATAAAATGATAAGAATAAATACTCCTTGATTTATACTTAGCATGATTAACTCCTAAAATGTTCAGATTTTTCTTTTTTAGATTTTTTTTTAATGGAACTGTACCACTCCAAAGAGCATTTATTGAGAACTTAAACTGAGATAAACATGCAGCTCTTAAAAACTACAAAATATGAAAATGACCCTGGTTTGGACTAGTCAGAATCAGATAAGTTTTTAAAAATTACTTTGCCACTGTTCACACTTTTTAACATCCTATGAGGTTTTTTTTTAAGATTCTTACAAATTCATTTCACACATGTATTGGTATCTCCTGTAAGTATCTTATGCCCTGGAGAATTGAGATTGGAAAAACTAGATGCATCGTTATGTTTCTTGCAACTGTGATTTGACAGTAGAAAAAGCCTAATTTTTAGTTTGAGGGGAATAAGCATTTTTTTAATTCTTAAAATATGTTTAAGATTCTATTTTAACATTGGGAGTGAAAATATTAATATTTCAGTGAACATGACAATTACAAGAGTGTAATGATTCTCTACCCAGTTTTTCTTTATGGGTGGAGTCGTGAGGTAAAGAGGTGGTATACTTGGTGTCGTACTTTTTGGACTGAAAAACTTATGTGGTCATATGCAAAATAAGTCATTTGTAACCCCCACTCCCACAAGAGTCTGTGCACATATAAAATAGGTATTTTGTATAAATCTCACACTCAGTGAGTGGTATTGATATTCTTGTAGAGGGAACATTTTCTCCTTTAAAAGATGTCTAACGTTTTTGCATCTCTTTATAGTTAAAAAGTCTACATGATTTATTTAGAAATACATGTCTTAAAAAGGAGACATTGCATTTCAGGGCTTTGTTTTAACAATTTTTACTGGAAAGATCCAATATTTCAGTATGTCAAGATTTCCACATTATTAGCATCAACATGTAACTGTCAAACTCAGGAAATGAGAACTAGATTTGACTAGTTATTATATGTCGTTCTAATATTATTCCAACAGATGACCTCATCACAGGCATTCTTGAGATATTGTTTTTATTGTTTTTACCAGATGTAGATACAACCATAGATGTGACTTTCTTTTCCTTTATTTGAAAGCAGATTTCTTGATTTATATTTTGGAATTATTTAGCTAATTATAGTAGTTAACATAATTCTGCTGCAAGATACTATCTCCTATCAAGAGACTAAATGCAATTA